GTACAAACTGTGAATCCCTATTGGTCCTTTACGCCTAGCCAAGTTCGTTGATTCAAGAGAGCAATCCCTGCTACCATTGTACGGATCGTATATTTCAGACATACCAATTTTATATACTAACTAACCATTTGCGCAAAAATTTGAAGAATCTTGAGGGATTGACGAAATAATGTCATCTGCGGCCAAAGGAATATTGTTATGTGCTTTAACCGAATCAGTTTTTGAGGAAACAGTTGCTACTTTAAAGATAGCTATCGCTCTTGGATGTGCGGCAAAAAATAACGATAGGGAGTAGTTTCCGTATTAAGTGACCGATAATCATCAGTTTGAAGGCCAATCGTTGCTTTCATTTTTAGGGGCCAAGTGCAAGGTGGATGATCATGGACTGTTAGATGGCCAAACAATCCCCACTTCTATCATGTGCTTTAATTCATTTTTGGCCGACTTTAGCTTTTCAGGAGATGTTCGTCGATATTTCGAAAATACAGTTGGTCGTGTAGTTGTGATGTGCTGTGTAACGTTGCTGGTTAAACATGGTAGTTTTAGTCGCATTTTGTGTAGTTCAGGTCTCTTGTTGAGCACCTGTTGGAAGTGTGGATAGATTATGTACTTAAACGTGACTGGGGATGAACTACAAACAAAATAAAGTTTTGAGAACAGATAATTTAGTGTTTGTGTCCCATAGATTCTGTTTGTTTGGATTATGGTGTTGTAACAGGTTTAAATCGGTGATTGGCATAGAAACGTTTGCAGCAACGATAGTCCAGTAAGTGGGTTTGCCTTGATAAACGCTATGATAATCACATCACTTACCTTATATAGCGATCCCTCTCTTATTTGCTGCCCACAGTTTAAAGATCGGTTCGTGTGGACGGTCGTGAGGATAGTGGGAAGGATGTCTGCCTCCCCATAAGTTTCGACGAGACAGCAAACTTGCGTTATGACGCCAGTGATGTACAACAGTTTCGGCCCCGTACAATAGAACTGTCCTGATGTTCGTATTGAAGATTGTGTCTTTGATGTTGGTCAAAAATTGTTTTGAGTTCAATATGTTGTTTAACTGTAGGAATGCCGACCTTCCTTTGCCAATCTTTGCCTTTACATGTGCGTCAGATAGTCCTTGTTCATCGACGACGATGTACGTGAAAATTTCCACTATCATCATAGATTCTCAATCAAGTGTGATTGGTTTGGTGTTCTCCGAGCAGTATTTTGGGACCCAGGTTTTTGTGTGTACTGAGGCATACTGATGCAGGGGCTTTTACTACAGTGGCTGTCTTCACATGGATGTGTTGGTGTGTATGATATAGAAAGGCTAGGTCGTCTGCAAAGTTCAAATCGTCTAGTGGTAACAGTAGCAAAAAACATAACACTTGACGTTACTAATGCGACTCTGTTTTTCTTATTGCAGGGCAACAAAGAGTAAATCTACTGGAAGGTGAGTAACAAGCCCTACGTAAGCTGAACCTACAGAACGGTGGATAGAACAATTTTGTAATAAGTTTTCCCTTTTTGTGCTCAAACCACGTCTTTTAATTTTCAAATATATATCTGTTGTGTCAATACGTCGAGTTCTTACTATAGAGGTCCAGACTGTTGTGTTATTGTTTCAAACCACTCCTGCTTCCCAGTAATCGGTAATATAAAGTGCTATATAGTTGCACGCACGCTACCCATTATATCCCGTGATTCCTTCGAGATGTAGAGGTCATCATAATCCAGCCGACCTGAGAAAGAAAAGGAGAAGGTAGGCATCCATGTCTGACTCCGGTCGTTACGTGGAATGCATCTGCCAGCTGTCCTTTATGCACGATTTCCCACTGTTGTCCTCCGTCTAAATTCCGTATGATTTTGACAATCTTCTGAAGTACTACGTAGACTCGTAGAAGCTTCCATAATATTCTTCTATCCACACTGTCAAATGCTTTCTTATAACCATGGAAGTTGATATGTAGTAATGAGTTCTATTCCGCTACTATGGCCTCAGGTAATGATTTCTACAGTTAAGTGATCCGCATTATATTTCCCATGGATGTCCTCTCAGGAGCAGCACAATACTAAATCGATTTAGCGATATCTTGATGTGAGGAGGTTTATGAGAGATATGGCGAATAAAAAGTAATTCCCTTGTAGCTCGACTGTACCATACAGGTCTAAATTACGAGCTTCCAGGTCACGCGGGCCGCTCCTGTTTTTTGTTTGTCTAATGGCTGTTCTAAGTATGCTTCTGAAAAAGTCTTAGAATTATGGTCTACTATGATATTAGTACTACTCTAATAATGGGCCAATTCATGCAGTCCAACCAATCTCTCCCGCCTTCTCCATCGTTGAGATTTATCCGCGTTAAATGTTGAGAATGTATTTTCCGACTGTCTCGTGTTCACCTTTCAGGATTGACGGCATGGCTTTGCAGGCGTAGTCACTCCCAAGTATTGTAACATGATCTTCTATTCATATTAAACATATTGTTCTATTTCTAGCCTTAGTGTGTTCATCATATATTGGTGATTGTTACGACGCGATGAGTTGGTGTACATAATAATAATACTTCCATGTAAGATCTCATAGATTAGGCAGTTATATCATGACAAACCTATAACTTTGGGATTAAGTCTATTATTAGAGTAGTACTAATATCACAGGAGACCATAATTCGGCACTCTCACTATAAGCTTTATTTTGACCTATAGACTATCCCCAGTTTAATAATTACAGTCTCTCACAATCATAACCACTTTTTGTCTCGATCTTGTACAATTGTCATTTTTTAATTATGGTATGATGTGGTCTTGTTTGCCTGTATATAAACCAAGCACGCCTGGAATAAATGATTCGTACAGTGGAAGTTGTCATTGGCGTTCTGAACTTAATAGACAGGGCTTGTCAGAAAAATGACCAATAAGGACGCTGGGTTGCTAATACCGGTCGATACGTCATAGTTGTGCCGGTGTCAAGATAGCATAGGTTGTATTCTGATTGGCGAATCAGTCACATGATAGCTAGCCCGGCGAAAGTCACAACAAGAACTCTAATATATTTTCTATCTTAGTGATATTCTCTTTATATGCTATATCTGGATATGCATCTCGTAATTAGAATTATTAACTACTTATAATTGTGTATTACCGGACCGACAGAAATTCAAACACGCCAATCTCTGACGATTTAAGTAACGTCCAGTGTATTTTTCTTGTGTGTATAATTTATAATTGATATATTAACACATTAATTTTTGACGTAATAACTTTATCACTGGCCAAAGAGTATTCTACTATTGACTAATAAACTCTTGAAGAGAGAGTAAAGAGACAGGAGTGAAATAGACCTGGACATCCTTGCAGCATTTTAGAATGTTTTCCGTCTAATTTAGGAAATTCATGACGGTTCAAGAACCCCACAGTCTCAGATTTTCGGAAGCTCGATACGCGGATAAATCTGCAGTATAAAAAGACTTACAATAAAAAATAAAGATACGCCAAAATATGTCTTTGTTAACATTTAATATATGGTATGAGTATTCTTTTATTTACAAAAGGCTAGGTATTTGATAGTCACCGAACATATACAGAAAGGTGTTAGTGGCTCGAAAGGCAAATTCCAATTTGTTTCTTCCTTGTGGCATGACGAGTATATCAGTAGAAGTTACTAATCATTTTTCCTTGATCTACAAATACCAAAAATAAAATATCTATTAAATTCAAATTAGTGCTGATGACATTACTGCCTACGCATATTAGGGAATAGTCTAGAAACATTTCCAAAATTTATTATATAGACAGAAATAAATGAAACAGGCGTGAGTTTTTACATTCAAAAAAGCCACTTTACGGAACCTTGACAAGACTAAAGACAACCTTGGAATTTCGACTGTTGTAGACTTCTGTTGTAGATAACATTGTTATTATCCACATTTTTCAGAGTTCCACTTTGTTTGTGTAATCGTTATTAATGTCTACGGAATTATTGTCCAAATTTAGCTTCGACTCTTCCTTTCCAGCTTTGCTGTTTTCTTGTATGAGATACGGATTGTCAACCATGAATTTAAAAAACAAACGCACGCGTTTTACAAAACGGCAGTGGTTTCGTTCTTGTCGTAAACCAACCTTACTTTTGTGTATTTGTTGCATCCAAAACATCCTTGGTCTACTTCAACTTGAATAATTTAGGTTAAGGTTTGAAATTTTCTTCGAATTCGTCTTGTAGTGCCCTTGTATTTGATTCACACACTATTGATTATATTGTGTTTTGTCCTTCTTTCTACATGTTTAATCTGTTAATAATGGTCAGCTGTACTTAAAAGTGTGAACAGATCATTTGTCCTTGCGGATGAAAGAAATTCATTGCGATGAGTGTAAAATGTGGTTCCACTAGATGTAAACCCGTGTCAGTCCCTCCAGTAACAAATGTTACTCGAAGCCTAACTACGGTTGGGTTTGTATATTTTGCTATTCAAGTGCTAAATTGCTGATCAGGGAGCCAATGAACCTTCTGGTTTTGGTCTGCGAGAAAGTTGACAGTGGCTACATCGTTAACATAGGTACTGACAACAAACTCACAATTGATTGATCACTGGGTGGTGATCAATGTCATGCTTGTCTAGTCCTTATTAGTGCAGATCGAATGCTATCGATCATGTGCAATGTGGCCACCAATCTAGGTGACTCGACACTGCGGGCACTATGTATTGAGATTAGATGGTGGTTGGAGGTAGTCAACAGGAAACCCTGGACCCGGGTTTCGTGCTACTTGGCACTCATCGACAAGAACGAAACCACTGCCGTTTTGTAAAACGCGTGCGTTTGTTTTTTAAATTCATGATTGACAATCCGTATCTCATACAAGAAAACAGCAAAGCTGGAAAGGAAGAGTCGAAGCTAAATTTGGATAATAATTCCGTAGACATTAATAACGATTACACAAACAAAGTGGAACTCTGAAAAATGTGGATAATAACAATGTTATCTACAACAGAAGTCTACAACAGTCGAAATTCCAAGGTTGTCTTTAGTCTTGTCAAGGTTCCGTAAAGTGGCTTTTTTGAATGTAAAAACTCACGCCTGTTTCATTTATTTCTGCCGATTGCTTTTACTATTCAATGTTATTATATCCAATTCTCTTGCTGAATCTTCAGCACAATTTTCATCCTGTTCTTCCTTCCAGATTATTTCATAAATTGCTCTTCACACTCCCTTACCATACAACACACATTCAGACAAGCTGCAGAACTACCGTCAAAAGCATTGGATTCTTATGGCTAATGATGTTTCGTCTTTGAGGTTGGAGTTACTCAGTGCGAAGTCCAGACTGGTTAACTATTTGCAGAATCATCATAATTTTCGGCCAGTTCAGAGAGAGTTTCTAGAGTTAGTGTCCGAATTCGAAATATTAAAACTAAAGGCGCAAGATATATATGGGATATCAAGAGAAAAGGTTTGTTATTATTGCTCATATGAACTTATATATTCATTACAATCTTAAGTTTCTATTCTGGTGATATCACCTGAGTGAAACATACGGATTCAATATACGAGTACAAAGCGTTTTTTTCCAGACTGTCCTCATACGAATCTGATACTTCTTAGGCTCCACAAAGTTTGTCAAGAAAATTTTTATTGTCCATTGCTTTGGACTTTGCTAAATGTCTTGATGACTAGTCGATTTTACATAAAAGTTACGTCCGGAAATAAGTGGGTCTTGTTTCTTCGTTTTTGTCCTTAAGTTCCTACGATACACTATCTTGAAAGACGTTTTTCTTCTCTTAGTCTTAAGCATGACTAATGTTAGCTGAGAAGCACTCTTTGCATTTTCTTTGTTATCACGTGTAATCATAAACAAGATCTTTAGCTTTGACCCATATGTGGAAAATGCATATAAATGTTCCCTGTTCTAGCTCGGGAAATCCTTATTGGTTCTAAATGTCTTTTCTAAAGACGATTACGCCTCGTTCCATTAGACTCTTAAACTAGAGGTACTTCATGCTGTTCATGATATTTACTGATTATTATGAAGTCGGATATATAAATGAACTATTCAGCTATGCCTAGTAATTGAAAACGGCGAGACTCTAATTTATGGACGACCTTTCAACGAATCTTAAGTGACCTTGAAGAATATTAGCCAATCATCAAACAGTCAGTATAGGCTAAAAATATGTTATGCAAAACCAAGGAAATATAGAGGTTCTAAAATCGTAATGCATGCAGTAGAGGAAATCATCCATACGTCTACAGAATAGTCGGCCTCTGGTGGCAACTCGAACTGATGTACGTACGTACGAAGTTCTTCTTTGTGACTGACTGACTGAGTCGGCCTTTGGATCCATGATAAAGTCTCAAAATCTCTTTCAGCCTCGACCACATAGCTTCAATATTGTTTATGTGCACTCCGGTTGTTGAGTACACAAAATACCAGTTGTGGACAACGACACTATGCACATAAAAAAGCCTATGTAGGAGTCTGTACGCTCTTTAATAATCTGTATATATTGTAGTAACTGGCTGCAGCCAGTGTTACTAGTGCTTTCATTATCCAGTTCGCAATAATTGACATAATTTGCCTTAGTTAGGAATTATATATGGGGCTTTTATCACGAACTGACACCAGCTATAATGCCAGAAATTTATTTAGCCAAATGGATGAAAGGCTTTCACGTTAAAATCCGAGATCAATTATTTTATACCTGATTGATTCGTCCACAAATTATAGTCTCGCCGTTTCATTTGTTATAGCCGCTTAATTATCATGTTTTGTACAAAATTCTTTGTGAACCCATCGTACGTTAGTATTAAGCACTGAAGTTGGCGCCATAACCTTGAAATCCTTCCAACGGCTCTAATTGGCTGGTCCATAAATTAGAGTCTCGCCATTAAAAACATTACATTATGGGGACCTTAGAATCTGCTTGTCCTTTATAAAGGTGAACTATTGTGTGTTGAAAGATGATTGATATTTTCATAACGAGTCTTGAATAGTAAAAATTAATGCATACAACACGTGATAGTTTACCTATGTGTTCGTGTTTAATTCAATTTGTGTGAGTGTTGGAATGCTGCCCGATGACCGAAAATTGGTCCATACTCCATTTGTTCCCTCAGGATCCTGGAGCCCATGTGAACCATTTATTTGGAATCAGAGTTTTTCAACTCCCTTAGGCGGATCCTCCGTGTCCACCAACTCGGTTAAAGTCCCCATCGGACACTCGCTTTTCGTCTTCTCAACTTCGTGAACGACACCCCTAATAAGAGAAGTCAGTGAGTAGAACTTTCCTGACAAAGGCTGTAAATACGCGGCCATGTGAGAGCGTATGGGGAGGAAGAACGGTTTTTATCCACTCTCGACCGTATCGAGGCAAATTACTGTCAAGCAAACTCCTACTGAAATTTGTTATGTGAAGGGCGCGATTTTGCGAACCTGACCATCTAATCTTAGGATATAACCTGTAGTATTAAGTTCAACAGATGTAAATAAATATACAAAAAACAGCTAGAAAATCTGTTGATATTTTTTACATGTTTATCATTTTTGCTACCTGTTATAATCTCTTCCTTCTTACGGTTAATGACCCAGCTATTCCTATTGCTTAGTATTCTCGGACACCGATTCACTCGACAAGTCCCCAAATCAGAACACGGTTGAACAGGAAAAAGATTATATTCCGAATAGCAAGTCAGAAGCCAGTAGGAAGCACAATAGGGAAAAACGTCGGTATATTTATAGTTTTCACATAAGAAGATTCCAGAGTATTCTCCGACAATCGACTAGTGCTGATTGGATAAGAATCAGTCAATCAGCGTGCACCAAAGCAATCATGCATTGAGCATGCTTTAATCTAGTCTATGCCCCGCTAACACCTCCCCTCTGAGCAGATTCGTAGGATCTGGTGCTAGGGTTCAACTGCAACTGAGTGACTGGCTTGTGCTTTCGATTAGTCCATCGTCTAGGCAATGAAGAATTATCACTTTTTCCTTGAACAGAGACTGACATGTCTGTTCCCGGCGTTTTGATTTTTCTTAAAAAAAGTATGCATAACTTTTAATTCTCCAACATTCTCCTCCTCCGCGAAACAATGTCGGATCCTTATATCTCCAAGTTACAAATAATAGGACTTTATTTAAACGACGTTTCTCACATTGAATGTCGGATCCACTAGAAACGACTAGATGATAATGAACGACCTTTGATTTGAGGTCAAAGTTTAATTCTTCTGAAGCATTACTTTCAAATCCATTAAGAATTTCATCAGTGGATAATGGATCATTACGGAAATCAACATCTAACAAAATTAAATTAGACTTTTGACCATAATTTGACTCAGCTGATATATTTTCCTGATTTTTATGAGAAATTTCATCAAAATAACATGCATTGTTCTGAGAACCCATGTCTGATACATTGTCATTAGAAATCGGATAAGCTGATTCAATATAAATTTCTATCTCACAATGATTTTGAGTAACATTCGGTATAATTGGGTTCCTTGTGTCACTGCAGTTATTTTCTGAATACGAGTCCTCATAGCTTTCTTGGCTAATATCACGTGGACCATAAATTTGTTCTAGCTGAAAGTTATCTTCAGAGCTAGACAGGACCAGTAGTGCTTCATTCAATTCTGAACTCCGGGCTTCATCTACAGGGTCTGGCTCTTGATCATTTCGTATTGCCACAACTTTATGAGCATTCAGCACAGGATTTTCTTGCTGTGAGCCGGAAACGTTACAAATATTACGTTCTGATTCAGGTATAAAGGGATTTGAACCCTCCACTAGATATGCTTCTGAAATGTCTGTTACTGCATCATAAACAGATTTCTTATTTTCTGGTCGAGTGAAAAGTGTGTTCAATAGTTGTTGTTGCAAGGCTAACAACTTCTGCTGGTGCTGTAATATTAACCGCAACTGTTCTAAAGAAATCGCCATTTTTCTTTAGTTTTTCCCCGTCGCCACTGTTATAACTCTGTTTTCTTACGGTTATGACCCAGCTATTCCTATTGCTTAGTATTCTCGGACACCGATTCACTCGACAAGTCCCCAAATCAAAACACGGTTGAACAGGAAAGAGATTATATTCCAAATAGCAAGTCAGAAGCCAGTAGGAAGCACAATAGGGAAAACGTCGGTATATTTATAGTTTTTACATAAGAAGATTCCAGAGTATTCTCCGACTATCGACTAGTGCTGATTGGATAAGAATCAGCCAATCAGCGTGCACCAAAGCAATCATGCATTGAGCATGCTTTAATCTAGTCTATGTCCCGCTAACACTACCATATCGAGGTACATAACTAAACATATTGGAAACGAAATTTCTTTTGTTTTTAAAGGTGACTGTCTTAATTTCAATTCTGTTCATTGCCTATCCATTTGTACCATTCTGATCACAAATGTTAGCATAATGAATCAAAAATTTAACGGTTTTTGTGCACAGAGCTACTTTAAAATTTTCAACATTTAATCTTCCCTCTAATATAATAGTTTCAAGTAGGTGAACCTCAAAAGTTTCGAAGCTCTCCACAGTAAAGGATCGGCTTAGTGATCAAGGCGTTCGACTTTCAGCCACTGAGTCGGTCAGAACCCTGTTTCACCTGCCCCGACCTGGGCAATCGGGTAGTACATCATCTCATACCTGTAATGTGGCTCACGTTTAATGAATGAATTTATTTATCTGTTATATTCTTAGATCCTTTCTTTATATTAAAAATTTACTCACTTCAGTCTGCTTCAGGGACTATTTTTCATGTTGAAAATTCCTTCGACTGGGTAATATTTTTGCTTCGATGTAGCTAGTTGAAAAACGTTAACCAAAGTATTGAGATAATACATTACGGAAGTATTCCACCAAATTTTCTTCGATATCATTCTTTTTAATTTTTAAAGCGTAGTTATTTTTGTTTGTATATGTACATAATCATGGTGATGTTCTTTGATCAGTTACTTATACATTTGGATGTCGTTTATATTCAGTGAACCGGTGGCTCAACGGTTAACGTGTTTGACTTTGAGTCACTAAAGTGCAGATCCGAACTTCACTCTACTTTTATCGGTCTGGGTGACTGGACAGCTTCAATAACCAGCATACATAAAATGTAGCTCAAAGCCGAGTGGACGTATCTGTACTTTGTAATTTAGTTAATAATAATATCTTTCGTTCCAAAAAGTTAGTTGTGTCTGTTTGCGGTATTCACTAATTATTATTAAAGCTGAATCACCAGCTTCTTTTGGAAAGTAATACTAGTAAATAAGATATTTTCGTGTTTATCTAGGCAAACTAATCTGCATCATGTAAATTGAGCCAGAAATTAGAGTTTCACAGACTAACATGCTTAATTTCCTTGCGAATATATTACTCTAGTCCCAGTTATTTCTGTGTGCTTTCATAATAGATAACTGCAGGAGCTCTCTTACCATTACTGCTAGCTTTTAACTCTACATTTTTACTATATATGGAACATTTTTTCTTCAGGTTATACCTCAATTGAAGTCCGTTCATTTTGATCTAAATGAGAGAGATAATCGAGTATCCTCAGTGTCTAATATACACCAAAATGCAGTATCACAACTCCAGGAACTTTTGGATATGCATGACAATTGTTCCTATCTCCTAGAATTGCACCAGGCCATAAATAGCTTCGAGTCTTCAGTCAATCAACTGTTATACCAATGTTCACGTCGTTCGGTCGTTGATAAGAAAAAGAAATGGGAAGACACAGTTGTAAAATCTCCCAAAGACTCAGAGATTGATTTAGAACTCGATGATAAATGTGTGGAAATAGATGAAGAAACCTATCGGTTAGTAATCATTCTTATACATTTAGTGTATTTCGGAATATCCCTTGAAAAAATATCTTTTGGTATCCAGACAATAACAGTGTTTGTACTAACAGAACAAATTACAGTGTTTAATTAAAAGCCTCTTTGTGTGGAATACCGATTTCTTCCTACAAGCTGCAGAATAAACATCTAGGTGCGACCTCTGAAGAAAACCATCTCACAAACCATTGTTCGCTTTCTTAGTATTTTACTCTTGAGATATCCCATTTTTATTTCTGGTTTAATGTGGTAGTTTACTACCGTCAAAACTCAGGTCTATGCGATTACTTCTATTCACTATTGAAATGTTCGACTAGACAAATTTGTAACAGTATAGCTTTTTAATTGTTTTCTACGTAGTTAAATCTGCTTCGGAAAACAGAAACTTTTAAACCAAACTAGAATATTATTCACATTTCATGCTTAGTTATGCTTTTGAAATTCTTTTATTTCTGAAGTTAAACATTTCGCTCATAACTTTACGGGTCGTAGGATTTCTATGTAATATTTTAATCCTTTAAAGGCAGTTTAGTGTTAACTCTGATTAGCAAGCATGTTTCAAAGTACGCAACCGTACAAACCTTCAGTTTTATTTGTTTTACGAATTGATTTGGGTTAAAGCCTGATTTCCAACAACAAATCTGAATAATGTTGCATACGTTCTGTAGACATTATACAACTTGCGCGTCTAACGTTTAACGATACCGGAAATATTTTGATATTTCGTTTAAGCTCATTTGAACTATCTACAGTAATATCTGACACAGTGTGGGTCATAAGCAACGTAAAAACCTTGGATTAATGTCAGTCAGTTCAAATTGGTACAGAGCATCTGCACAGTGAGATAAATTCATAAAGATAAATATCAAATTAACAAAAGTAGTCATATTAATCGTAATAAAACAGATGTAACAACGAATATGATTCAAGAAGAAACAATTAATTCGCAGAATAAAAGATATAAAATAGCTTTAGAATTCAGGATTAAAAGGAGTACAAACAGTGAATAAATCTATCCCATTGCCACTAATTCTAAATTATATTTTCCAAAGTCTTCAACGATCAATCACGTTAGTCGTACGAATCTCAACCAGTTAGTCTACATCTGGTAACATATCTCAGACGAACAATCGAAGGCTTCATAGATTAATGCTTTTTAAAAAAAGTTATTTAACACTTTATCCATACTAAGTGTCAAACAAATTCAATATTTTAATCTGCCTATTACATCATTTCATTGTGTATATGTACGTGTATGTTACTATTTTTACTTTATCATTGTAAAATATACATCTTTTTGTTCCTTCGTCTTACCTAGTTTATGTGTTGATACTGTGGTAACATCACTTGAAGAATCTGAACATCTACTTGCGAAACATAAAAAGTTTAGTAAAGATGTAGTACTTGTCTTTCAAAGTTGTCAACAAACATTTACACGTTGCAAGGTATTACGGTTATTTCTTTTTTGTTTTTCCAACTCATAATATTATTTTCTACCATTTTTTTCATTATGTATATTTCATGATATTAGGCTACGCATAGATTTATTTGCATTAGTGACGTTAAACGCATAATAAGCCATAACTACCATAGTTTATTTATTATTTATTTTTGTTTAAACACACCAACGTCGGTACAAGGAGACACCAAATATATGTGCCATACAAATAGACTTTTGTGAGGGATGGGGTACTTCCCTGGTGCTCAAACCGAGTCGGGTGGTTTTCTTAGAAGGCTACTCCCCGAGCCTTTGACCTAAAGGTCTTATACACAAGGCAGTGGAGCAACGTAAGGAGATGCAGTCCCATTTTAGCCGGTAACCAACATTTGGTTCATACACTATTTGTCCCTTCAGAATCCTGGATCCCATGTGCACCGATGGTTTGAAATCGGTGTCCACCAACCCTATTAAAGCACCGGACATTTGCTTTTCGTCCTCTTAATTTCGTAAACCACATCCCCGCTGTGAGAAGGTAGTGAGTAATACTTCCCTGGCAGTGGTTGTATGCACGTGGCCATGTAAGAGCATTTAGATAGGGAGAGCTAACTCTTCCCACTCTCGGCCATACCAGGGCATTTGGGGGTTATCGACGTCCAAACTGTTCTTTTTCACTACTGGTACAATATAGGATTATGTTGGAAAAACGTTAGGAGTGTTCAAATCAAGACTTGACATGGATCCATGCAGTTAGTGACTGTTGAACCGAGCCATGTTGATAAGTGCAGATTGTATTGTTTAAGGTCCGCGTAATTTTCAGAATTAATAATTAGAGAATAAATTTGAGTTGTATGGCTTAGAGTAGTTTGCAATGGCCCATATCCATTCACTTTATTGGGGATGTCCAATCCCTAAAAGTTCATCTTTTGAAAAATGGAAACAGTATTGATGAAAATGAATTTCTGTTGCATTAAATTATTTAGTGTGAACTCTGCTCATGGACTTTCAATACAGTTTTGCTGATTTCTATGTTGTGACAAATTATCAGTTCAGTACTTTTATTCATTGTAATTAATACATGGTCGAATAACTTAATTGTATCTTCGTAATAATATACTGGGTTCATTATCAAAAGGTTTCAATTAGTAAACTGATCTTTCTATTCTAGTTATTCGGGTGGAAAGTAGTCTCGTTCATTTCATTGAAGTCAGAGTTGTGAGATCTTAGCATAGGACATGAATTAATCACACTCTCTTCCATCCTTTAGGTACTAAGTTTCTTAATTATGTTACTAAAATTCTTTTTTTACTCCAGAAATCCTTATTTTCTTCATGAATTGTATCTGAAATCTCCAATCCTTTTTATTACTACTAATACTGCTGCTAACTATACTACTTTGGCATATCGCTTTGCTGATGTAGTTTGACAGCTTGAGTTAATACACATATGGACCAAGTTCTACATTTCATTTGACTAACCACTCAGCAAAGTCTTGTTCATTTATTTATTCAAACACATAAACATTGGTAAAAAAGAGCACCGAAATATAAGTGCGCTACAAAAAGTAGTTATCACTAGATTTGTGTCGGCTTGGATACTTTCGAGTGCCCAAACCGGAACAAGTAGTTATTTTAGGAGGCCACTACCTGAAATTTTGAGTCAGAGGTCTGATCCACAAACAAGGAAGTAGAGCAGCGTTAGAAGATGCGATCCCATGGTATCCGGTGACCAACAATATGTTTATACGCCATTTATTCTCTCAACATCCTGGATCTCATCTGTTCCATTGGTTTGAAATCAGTGTTTTTCAACTCCACTAATTGAAGCTTGTTTAACAGAAAACTACTCAGGTTCAGTTTTATTGAAACTACAGATACTGTTTGCTAAAGCCTACTGAAACTATTCTATTTGCATCCCAGTTTTTTGAAGAATAATTCCCTATATTGTAACTGTGTAAATTCTACATTTTTCAAACTTTGTATGTTTCATCATATTTTATTTTCAGAATCGTCTTACTCAACATGTTGATGATCTTTGGCGTCGGTGGATCATCCTAGAAGTTCCTTCAAAACATCAGAATGTATCTTCAAAGTTCAATGTTAATAATATATATCCTTCTATTCGTGGACAACTTCAGCCGAATGATTTTTTCAGTTTTTTATTCGATGCTTGTATACCATCACCTACTGATATGTGTAAATCTTTAAGACAGCCGAGTTATACATCCAATCCCGTTTTTTATGAAGTTTCTGATCATGATGTGCCGACTACTCAATCATACGGGGAATCCACTGTTTTAGCTAGTCTCAAAATATTGGCTAAACCTGGATTGATCTCTCAGTTGTTACGTATTATTGATGCTTTAAAAGAGTCTAAGGTTAGTGAACTATACCTTTCCCATATAGTTCTTGATGGTATGGGGGAATCGTATCGATCTCAGTTAACTATTGGGCTGAATTACGTGACAGAACTCCAAACTTTCTCATCTTCTCTATTGATCGCTTTCTTGACATGTGACCAAGATATTTCGATATCACCTGGCAATTTAATCGTTACAAACAAGGTTGTTAAGGCTATAATTCACGCACGAACAAATGAAATTAAGGATAGCAAGTCTTGGATTTTGGCCCGAAATTCACTTATCCAAATGGTTAAGTATCACTACGGCATTGTAATTGATGTCATTTTTTGATGAAAACCCTGACTCTAATTACCAACCCTAACCTCACACCTGTTACTCGTGAAGCACAAGGCACCGACAGGGAATCTCCAAACTACTTTGTCCCGCGGGTGAGACTATAATTTATAGACGACCTTTGAGCGACGCCCAGTGACCTTGAGTGTCTACTTACTAGGGCTAAGTGAGGGTTATAAAGTAGTTTGAAGAATAAGGATTATGATTCACAGTTGATGGTTAGGGTTAGGAATTAGATTTATGGTTTTCATCACGCCAAAACGCTATTTGGACAAATCAGTGGGTGAATGTCCCATCAAAATCCAAGACCTGTTATCCTAAATCTGATTGGTTCGTCCATAACTTATAGCCTTGCCGTCCTGTGCTCTCTCGAGTTGTTGCCAAGTGCTATTTATTCTTTTAGTGTTCGTCTCCAGTCCCCGACTCATTGTGATCCTAGTTATGCCTTTTTTCCTTGATGACTCCAATCTATGGCTTGCCTCGGGACGCAGTTTGATGATTTCTGTAAAATATATCCTCTTCACCTCCAGCGTTTATTTATTTATTTCAACACACAAAAGTTGGTACAAGCAGGCACCAAATATATATATGCCACACAAATTATTCGATTTGTGTGAGGGCTCGTATACTGTTCGATCGTCCAATCTGAAGCAGGTGGTTTTCTTAGAGGGCAGTACTTCGAACCTCTGACCTAAAGGTCTGGTCCACAAGGCAGTGGAGCAGCGTCAGGAGATTCAGTCCCATGGTAGCCGGTGACCAACAATAGGTTCATGTGTCATTCCCTCAGTATCCTGGAACCCATGTACACCATTGGTTTGGAATTAGGGTTTTCCAACTCCACTAGATAGACCCTCCGTATCCACCAATCTGGTTAAAGCACCGAACATTTGCTTTTCGCCTTCTCAATTTCGTAAGCAACACCCATGGTGTGAGAAGACAGTGAGTAGGACTTCCCTGGCAGTGGTTGTATACGCGTATCCATATGAGAGCATTTGGAGAGGTAGAGCTAACTCTCCTCACCATCGGTCTTACCAGGGGATTTGGTGGCAATCTATTAACTAGAGTTATTGAGATCATATATTAAGCGTATATGATTCTTTAATTTACTTAACTGCTTACAGTGAATGTAGTATGGAAAAAAGATTGAGGATTGGTAAACTAAAACATTACACTATATATTGTGAGGTAAAATCAGCATGACAAATAAAATTGATAATCGAACACTATGTTGTAACCTGAATCTTAGTGTACTGGAACATTTGCATATCATTTTTTTCATCTTACTTTAAGTCTTAACATTTTTTTGATTTCTTATGACTTAGTAAGTAGTTGGTTTTGATACTGAACTTCCTCTTGGTCAGTGACACCAAGTGTAGTAACCGAGAACTCAGATGGGAAAGACCAATTTATTGTTTAATGTAAAATTACAGAATGCTTTGACAAAATATTGAAACCATACATTGAATACATCATTTGTCCTTCACATGCTTCATGATTCTTTCAATTTTGTTGTTAATAAAATTTACTTTCTGTTTTCTTCAATTGAATCTTCTCAATCTTCTGCTAACATGCATTGCATTTCTGATTGGTATTACTTACTACTTATATTTGTCAACATAAGTAGCATACACCACAATACTACCTAGTTGCTCGAACTAATGTATGTTAATTTAATTTCGAATCTATGGTCCAGCTGAAATTTGAATACATTAATCATATAGTCACCACAAATTATGAATATATAATTCCATACAAGCCATTTTCAATCTGTATGTGTTACCTTCTTATCGTATTACCTGTTTTCTGGTTGCCTTACCCAGAAGTATGCCAACTTTAATCAAAACACGTTTCATGCTCGTTACTACACAGTTTTTGTCTGTCTCTATTTCTCCTCTAATAATGTTTAATGTAGTGACATTTGATTGTGTAGTACATAACTGTCATATTTGTTAGTTAGATGTTTGTTAGCAGCAAGTTTAATAAAGGTTGTCTTTTTTAGATTTTGTGTAGATTGTAAATAAACTTTGACTGAAACAATTGATAAGTGGTTCATATTTGCCAGATATCCACCATACAATGTAACTCATATATACTAAAGCTGACAATACTTGGAAAATGAAACCTTAGTATAGTCTAAGGAAGATACTCTATCTGTCTGTAAATTGACTAGATTAGATTAAGACATCATATCGAATTATTCTTATAAACAAGATCGTTTCTATAGAATGTCACTAGATTTTATAAAAAAATTCTCCTTTGTTTAGTTACTTGAAGGCATTTCGTATTTGACATTTATTTGTTTGATGGGGTCGGCATTAATATATCAGCAACGATTAAGGTACACACCTTATCATTAGAAGGCTTAAATTTTCTCTATATTGGATATTCTTCTTTATGGTTCTTTACAGAGTCGTATACTTGAATTGGCTAATCAAATTTGGACGTATATATTTAAACCTTGGCTTAAAAAGGTACCATGTGTGTCGGGACCAAATGTCGGCTGGGGAAAATTAAAGGTTGGTTTTTATCTTATGGTTGTTTAACTTTCTCATTTGATACGGTCTTTTTCATTGAGATAACTGTCATTCGTTCGTTCCATGGAGTTTTGTATGTTTTATGGTCAACGATAGAAATCATAGTTCATGATTGTTAACACTTACACCAGTAAAGCGATGTTTGGAAACACATGAATGTTGATCAATTAGTAGTATGGTTAGAAATATAGTCATTATACTTACTGACTGACCTCTACTCTATTTTGATTGTATCGTTTTTCAGATGTTCATGGAATTATTAACATATTAAAACATAACAGTCAGATTAATGACACTGGCATTGAATGTCAACTCCCATCTTAATTAGTGTCCCTTTACTTGCTCTAGTGTTAATGGCGATCAAGTGTTACTTAAAACTGTCTCACTATCTTTTCAGTTACCGGAAAGCTTATCAACCACTCGGAAATAGTGTATCATTAAATTGTCCCTGTACGAAATCGTTGAGTCCATACCTTTTTTTCCACTTAACTACTATTTAAAATCTCGATGTGAAAATAATCCCTGCACATAGTATTTGCTCTCAAGTTTATAGTTGTCGTTTCAGTAGTTTCGTGCATTGGTTAATTTATTTTTTTAACTTCATAAATATTGATACCAATGGGCACCAAAATAAATATGCGCTACACAATAAGAAAATGGATAGATAAGGGAAGGGAAGCGCGTATATTAGGTAGAAGAAAAAACAAGAAATAAAAACAAATGTATGAGATTAGTAAATAACTTATGGGTAGAACTGAGCGGTGGACTCCAGGACGCGCATTTCATCCTATTTGGGACTCTTCAGTCGAATGCATCTGGCACATCCCACAGTCGATATCAACTTCAGGACTGGAACCCAGTACCGTTCGCTTCAAACGTCAATGGGAAGACTCAGACAGTCAATACAAAATGAATTAAAACTTCACCCCATTGCACAAACCAGTGGCTATCTGAACTCAGTAGCTAAGTGGATAAATTGGTGGCGTTTGAAGTGAACGGTACTGTGTTTGGGTCACTAAGTGAATGTCAACTCTAGAACGTGGTAGGTACATCCAACTAACGAGTCTAAAATAGAAAGAAATGATTCACTTCTTGGATTCCATCGCTAGTCATCATCCATCTCTGCTTATAATGTTTAAAATGAAATTTGATGATGTTATTATCAATTTTTATTATCTTTTTTTCTATTTGTTGTTATTGTATTATTTTTATAGTGTCAAATAATTGAACAATCTGTAAACATCGAATCAGATCATGAATTATTTATCAAAGAAATAGGCCTAGAAACAACCGATACTAATGATGTTAATATGACTCAATATTTACGTTTAACATTAATTGCTCCAAATAATCCTCCTCCTTATACTACTACAACAAATCCTAATGAAAATAATCATAATTATGATGACGACGAGGATGATGATGATGATGATTTAATCTCTAGTTCATGTAATCAATTAACTAAAGTATTTCAGGAGTTGTATACTTATCTATTTGGTTTACAAGCAATTCAGTCAGACAATAAACGTTTTATTGATATAATTGTAAATAATAATATTGATAGTGATTCAGGAATGTTCAATAATGAATTAGTTAAAGATTTAATTGATGGACGTTTTAATGTCGGTTTACCATCAGCTGAAAAATTACATAAATCAGAGATAATTGCAATATTAACACAAGTTGTCCTACGATTAATTAGTGTTGGTCGAAATACTGGATTTTTAATAGATGATATTAATCACCTTCATGATCATGATGATCATGATAAGATTGATTCATTTAAAGTATCAGCTATTGGCGGTGCAACAAAATTAAATCTTTGGATTGATAGTCTTTCTATATTAAAACATAAACGATCAGCTAATGCAATATTAGAAGAATTACGTGAATTATTAGCTGATCGTAAATTATTTTATTCAATGTGTTCAACTAATAGTTTAGTAAAAGTATGTGAAAAAAACGCTACAACTACAACAACTAATTTCACTACAAAACATAATAATAATAATACTGATGAAGGTATTTATGAAGAGGATGACTTAATATTGGACGATTGTATCGAGAATGATACCATTGAATTGGAATATTCAGATAAAACTAATAAGAATGATCAAATTTTATCGAAACTATTAAAATCCAAAGGTAATTTGGATAATATTTCACGGCATTTAGATCTAGGACAATTTGATTTTCCTGATTGTATGGTAAGTAATGACTCTATGTATTGTCCTCTAATTATTGACATTGTCTTGTATTTATCTGTTTATTGATTATTTAATTACTTGAAGAATGTATTTCCTTTTTTACCTTAAACTCTGACGGGATTATTGGCACCGGACACTTCACAGTTGATGATTTGCAAACTTCTTGGTTTATATTGTCATCAAAGATTCTAATCCAACTATCGAGTTACGCTTGAAATCCTAATATTGAAATATAAGATTTTTCTGGAATTACAATATCATTAAAGAAAGCAACGTAAACAATCAAGTTTGCAAAGCTAAAATCATAAGTCAGGTATCCAGGTCTCAATAGTGTAATCAAAGACCCAGTCGAAATAAATAAGCATCCTTCAAATAATCATGTAAAAATTTAATTACAACACTCACTATTCACAATTAATTAATCATTGGTTACTGAACAACGTTATATATGCCAAGTCGTTCTTAGCGCTACTCATTTATTTCTATCGATCAAGTTAAAATATGGCCACTATTCTAAATGACTTGACATCTGATGTGTCAAACAGATAGTAGTGCTTAATCAAGTGAGAATCACGCTATGTTCAAAGCGAAATTCCATTAAATATCATACAATAAGGACGAAGAGAAATGGTATAACACGTAAGGAAATATGCCAAAATATTGGATATAGTTGCTAGTATTAGAACCGGCAGTTTATAACTAGTGAAATATCGCACATACCAGTTTCAAAAAATGATTGATAATAAGATAAACTAGCGAATACTAATAAGTAGTATATTGTAATGCACAAAAAGGATCGAGCAATAAGGAAATATTTCTGTAAACCGTATTCAACAATCCTTTTATAATACTACCGTCACTAGATTTTTCCGTTATAATCCTCAAATGGATTCTAACTATGGTGGGATACTAATTTTTACATACTGAAAATCGCAGTTACATAGTGTGTGTGTGTGTCTATTGGCTTATTTTCACTAACATTCATTGGAAAGCCCACTGTTCTCGTTGAGGTATAAATGTATCTATATGTATGTCTGTTGTTAACCTTGTCTAATTATACTTCTATGAGTTGTAAAGAGTCATGAATTTACTGGGTACTTCCTTAAATTTTATCTGGATCATATAGGATAATGGATGCCCGATGTATAATGTAGACAGGTTTATCTACTAATGCGAGACACCACTTGACATGATTCAACAGTGAAAACAACAGTTTAAATACATATGATCCTTATTTTATAATACTGTACACCTTACCATAATTTGCTTTTATAAATTCCAAGTAATTGATTCATTCTACTTTCAACCTTTATGTTTCTCGAATAATTTTTATCAGTCCGTCATTTATGCTATGCACCACACATAACCTAGCATATATGCGCATCAGTTCCAGATGCCACACAAAATCAACACAGTGAATCCTAGAGTTATAGAGGTAGTAACAGTATTAGCGGTAGTAGAAAAGATTAGGTATAGACAATATGATTCGACAAGAGAATATGAATTGATTGAATAAAAGAGTAGATTTGAGCGGAGACAGGGGATGGATAAATCGGCAACACGGTCACTATTTTTGAGCCATGTCACCCAACATCAACAATTGGTTACGATAATCTCACGGATCACAACCACGTAGTTTCGACCTACCGACATGGTTCATTCTAACAGTCAGTAATTTCATGAACTAATGCCATGTCTTGGTTTGACCGTCTAATACCTAAACATAAACTTACTAAGGTACCTTGAGCAATTATTTACCTATTACTGACGATCGACTAGTCAGTGTGCAATGATCGAATTCTACCAACCAAATGACTCAAAATCTCATGCACTCTGCTGAGATGTTAGGTAGTTGGCACTAGTCAACACGAAACCCTGAACCTAGATGCCATTTGGCACACGTCATCAAGGTATAGTTGTGGTATTGATGGATCTGATGCCCCTGGTGGATTCCACGCAATATCAACCTAGTTTCAAAGTTTGAAACTTTGCCACTTAGCTTATAAATCCCAAACAGCACGAAACTTAGATCCAGAGTTTCATATAGACAGCCTCCAACTACGCAACACTTATTACCTACAGTTCACACCCTTTTCTCATTTGATTCATCTTTCTTAATTCTCAAGACATTAGGTAATGAAAATACTACTATCATTTTGACACTACTTTAAAAAATTTTAGTAGTACTAGTGAATCCTGAAGAGATATGATTTTCTCGTTATTCTGAATTGTGGGCAAGAGGTAATGTTATCATGATATTATTGTAATTGAAACAAGTCAATAGTAGTTGTTATAGTGAACTGTGCTTGAGTTTTCGTTGGGCTTCAAACTCTAAATTATGAAATAGTGAAATAATATTAACATTTGTGGTGAAATGATACCCAATAGAGTCTTCGACCAACACATTACAAATTATCATATTACTTCTCTACACATTCTGGTTGTAGCGTGGATTATCTGATTCCAATAAATGAACTAAACCAACTCACCAATTCAGCTGACTAATACATATTATATTAGGCATCCTCTCATCTTGACAGAACTAAGTAGTACTCCTAGTGTATGGAGCGTTAATTCTGTTAGGTTTTTGTTTATATCTGAAGTTCAAAAGTGTGACCATATAGATAGGCGAAATTCCTAGTCACAGCTGTTATCTTAACGTTATACTCAAGTTTGCACATGGTAATGACCCTATCAACTTATATTAGCAGGAATATTTATTTTTACCAGGTTGTACCATACCAGACAAGTTGATTAAGACTAAAATAAACAAATACAAGGTTGGAATAGTGTAGTTATGCTGCCAACTGTCTAGGTGTGACATCAGCAAAGTATTTCCATCGGGAAACCAGCACCTACAGTGGTACTTCCTATAACGGAAGGAGGGGATTATAAAAGGTCGATCTTAAAAATACCAAGTTTCACCTTACCCCACGGATTTCCGTCTTCGTCAGTAAGGCTTTACAAATATGAATCAGATTCACTTAAGACCACTCACAAAAGGACCATGTATGACTGATCTCAAGCAATTGTCTCTTGAGCTCTGCGGTCACTTTTTCAGATGTTACTAAAACATCTAATCTAGTTTCCTTACCAGTTGATGAGAAGTATCCTTCAAAGATCTAGGCAACCAGGAAGTGGCAACCTTCCTCACACATCTTTCAGCACACAAATTGTACGACACTTACCGTAGTTTAGTAAACTATTCGATTACTTGAGGATCCCAACATAAAGTTTTTTTCGATAAATTTTTTGAACACGATTTACTAAATCATCATCACTGATAACTTTCAGTAGACAATGTAGATCGTTCATTCAGTCCATACTTGTATTTCCGTTAATTACATTTAAATATATCCTTTCGATAACGTAAAACTGTATATTACTACTAGCTTTAATGGTTATTGCCGGTTTACCGCTAAAAAGGTACTATTTACTAAAATCAGTTCTAATCTATGTCAACATGATTGGTAGGTACCTTCAAAGCATTGTTGTGTCTATTTTGAGACCATCGAGTAAACAATGCCAGGGTTAGGAATAGAGTACTAGACAAAGATGGTAAATCGATTGATGAAGTAGTAAATCTTCATTAACTGAAGTGGTTGGGACATTTGTTACGTATGCCCAAGTACCACCTACCTTGTAGGGCAATATTGTCTGGTGTAGGAGTAGATTAGATGAAATATAGGGAGGCCAAAACCAGAATATGACATCAATCCATGAAAAGATCAACAGTTGAACTGAGCCATATCGATAGACGTAGACTATCTGGTTTTGGTCCGTATGATTATCGTAATCAATGGTTGGACACTGAATGATATCGCTTCAGATAGTTTACAATGACATAGTTACATCTATTCCTTGTCTTTGACTGTGAGTCACACCGCTTCAAATCATTTAGAATGGCTCAGTTATATTCGTTCTTTGTTTTCCTCTAAATTCCGAGTTCCTAAATTCCCCATAAACTTTCTTGTTTCTATTTCATTAATTTCTATTTTCCTTTCGAGTTGTATTTTTGACACGTAAACTTTCCCGTTACCACTGACACTGTTACTATCTCTACTATTCTGGTATTTGAAGTGATATTTTTATCTCTGTGTGCTAATTCTATAGGAAAACTTTGGCTGATGTACATACGTACCGGGTTCTCAGTCAGTCAGCTACAACGTAGGACCAGGCACATATATGCATCTCTCCAAGTTGCCATACCTCATTAACACAAGATGAACACCGGATTCATAGAAGTAGTTAATTCAGAGGTGGTAATATTTAAAAGAAAGATTGCATATAAGGGTATAGTACAAGAAGAAAGAATTAGTTAGTAGAAAGAAAGATAAGAAGGGATTTTAATCTCTTAGTTTAAGGGAAGATGGAAAGTGTATACACCTACGCCATTGTGATCGATTCTGAGCCATGTCACCCAGAGTCTCCAACCATTGGTTACGATAGTCACACGGACCCCAACCAAGTAGTCTGGATTTACCAACATGGCTCAGACTAGAAGTTAGTGATTTGAAGCACTGATGCCACGTTTTGTTTTGGCCGCCCCTAACTTTCTTTCAGCGATCTCCAACACCGGTTAGCATTACACGTCGTGGTAATCGGTGTTCAGGCATACGCGACACGTGGCCCAACAGGATTCTACGTTGTGACTGACTGTTGTAGAGAATACCACGTAAAGATCGATGATTCTAAGCCATATTTAATCATAATATTATAAAATCATGAAATAATATTTTATTATTTATTCATTAATTCTGATTTTTCATTATTGAAGGTTTCTGAAACTGTAGATCTTGTTATGAAACAAATTTATAAAATACTTCATGATTGTGAATCTTATCTTGAACCAATTATAAATGAAGTTAGTCAATCATTGAATGATACTCCAAGTACATTGAATTCAAAAAAATTTAATACTATTGCATTTGTTGAATTTATCATCAAATTAATTCCTCGACTTATAATGTTATTCACATCACTTGTACCGACTTTACATGCCGATGTCTTTCAAGGAGATTTACGTTTTGCTGGTAAGTTGTAGATATTTTATTTTTGAAGAATAATATCATAATACCAGATTATAGATTGTCATTACTTCTATGATATACTTTACAATAAATCTGAAAGGCTACATTAGACATAGTTGATTAATAGATCTTACGATAATGTCTTCCTATTACATGTTGCACTACTGACCAAAAGTTTGCCTGAATCAACACATGGAATCGCCATTTTGGATTTTCTTTTTTTAAACCATGAACTTAAAGTTGAATTCGATACTCTGAAACTCGTATTCTCAATGACACACAAAAATATTCTGTAAATAATCTATTCGTTTTTTTTTACTAGAGTGGTTATAAAACCTGTACTTCCTCTTATATTCAGAATGGTTGGCGACTGTGTCATCATGAGTGTAGTCACTGGGGTATAGTGCAAGTTTGACTGTTATTATTTTGTATTGTCGCGTTACATCAGGAAAATACATCGACTCATTAAAATCATTTCTACCAAGTTTTGTCAGTTGTTTTATTTATTATTTATTTGAACATATAAATAGTGGTATAAGGGGCCACCAAATATATATGCGCCACAAAAAACAATGAGAATGGGAAGAGAAAAAAGAATGTAATGTGTGTATAAAAAGAAAAAAAAGGAACAATTACGACCACAGACTAGTGTAAGGTAGTGTAATAACAATAATAAGAATAATGGGGAAAACGGAGAGGTGCAACCAGAAGAATTCTTTCAATTAAGGAAAATACAACCACTTTTTATGAAGAAAGTAAAAGAAGGTTACAGCAGGATCGCCACTGGCTTGTATTCTGAGCCATATCTGATAACGTCTCTAGCCACTGTGTAGCACCATCTCTCGGATCCCAGCCAGAGAGTCGTGAACGACCAACAGAAGCCAGTCCTTTGCAGCTTTCTTTCATACCACGACACCATGTCATGCACTGGCCACCTCTCCGCTTTCTCCAACCAGTCCCAGAGTCGGCAAATAATGCACGACGTGGAATTCTCTGGGACGACATTCGTAGAACATGTCCAAGCCACCGAAGTCGGTGTTTCAAGATGGTGACACCAATTCCATTATCGTCTCTGTGCCCAAACACACGATGCCGAACCTCTGGATCACTAACATGGTGTTGCCACTTTATGTCAGCAATCCTTTGGAGACAACGATGATCAAACACGGAGAGTCGTCTAACGTCCTCAACTCGGAGAGGCCAGGTTTCACAAGCGTAGAGCAGAACTGGTCTCACCGACGCGTTGTAGATCCGACCTTTTACAGCCAAACTAACATCACGAAGGCGCCAAAGATGGCCCAGATTGGCATAAGTCACTCTGACTTTCACTATACGTGCATTGATCTCATCACTCACGCCACCACCAGCACTTATGTAGCTACCCAGATACACGAACTTCTCGACTATTTCTATCTGCTCACCATCCAGGGTGAGTACAGGATTGGAATCCTGCCAGTCTTGTAGAAGTACTTTGCATTTCGAAGGTGCAAAGCACATACCATACGTACGGACACTGATTGCCAACTGATTAAGTGTGGATTGCATGCCTTGGGCATTATCACACAGTAAGACAATATCATCCGCATACTCAAGGCCGAGAAATCTTTCTCCAGGCAACAGATCCACAATGCCATCACTTACATCCATCAGAGCTGTTTCCAGAATATCATCGATGGCAAAGTTGAAGAGGAATGGTGAGATTAGGCAACCCTGCCTAACCCCACTGCTCGAATAGAACAATGGAGAAAGGTGGTTGTATGCCCTCACTCTGCCTGAGGTGTTTGTGTATAGGGCTTTTAGGATGTTGATAAACTTCTCAGGCACACCCTTCTTCAGTAGGCAATCCCAGAGAACAGTTCTGTTCAACGAATCGAAGGCAATCCTGATGTCAAGTAACGCTACGATTGTTGGCCTGTGATAATTATGAAGGTGTTCTAACACTTGGTGAAGGGTGAAGATATGATCAATACATCCTCTACCAGAACGAAACCCAGCCTGCTCCTCGCGAGTCAATCTTTCTCGGGTTTTGAACAACCTACGAAGTATGATGGAAGCCAATAGCTTGGACGCAATCGGAAGTAGACTTATCCCCCGATAATTGTTACAGGAACGACGTTCCCAGACTTTTATAAACAACGTCGTCAGTTCCTTAGTCAGAAAGTCACCACCATCTTTAAAAAGAGCCGGAGGTAAGTCATCTGGGCCAGGTGATTTGTAGCGCTTCAAGAGTTGGAGTTCCGTAAGTTTCGTCATTTCATTCTATTTGTGTGTGGGCTGTGATGCTGCCTGAGTGCCCAGACCGAAGTAGATAGTTTTTTTAAGGGGCTACATTCCAAGCCTTTGACCTAAAGGTCTGACCCACAAGGCAGTGGAGCATCGTGAGGAGATGCAGTCTCATGGTAGCCGGTGACTAACAGTTAGTTCATACTCTATTTGTTCCCTCAGGATACTGGAGCCCATGTGCACCATTGGTTTGGAATCCGGTTAAAGAGCCGGACATTCGCTTTTCATCCTCTCATTTTCGTGAACAACACCCCAGTGGTGAGAGAAGGCAGTGAGTAGGACTTCCCTGGCAGAGGCTGTATACCCGTGGCCGTGTGAGAACATTTCGAGAGGGGGGCGGGCCCACCCCGTTTTGGGGCATTCATAGTTACATAATATACCTTTGTGGGCCAGGGTAATTTTACATTGGTCTTCAGGAGAACCAGACACCATCCAGACTTTCATGTGACAACCCAAACAGTACAGCTCAATCCCGTTTAACAGAGGAGCCAGACACCACCTAGGCTTACATTTTATAACTCGAACAGTACAGCTCAATCCTGCTTCACAGGAGAACCAGAAACCATATAGGCTTTAACGCTACAATCTGAATAGTACAGCGCAGTCCTGTTGCGCAACCACACAGGTACCAAGCACCCTGGTCAGTTGAGTTAGAGGTTATAGCAAACTATCGTCTGGACTGTGCACATTAAATCGTGTTCATCAGTATTGCTCATGTGGCTGACAATTTGTAAATGCTTAGGATGTCGTATTCACTACATAAATGCATGTTGCTACTTCACAAAGACTTTATATCGATTTTCAGGAATCGCATCTGGAAGCCCGTCATTAGTGAGCACATGATTATTATCGCAACGGGTATTTGTGAAGATTGTAGTAATTTTAACAGTTGATTTACTGTAGTTCTAGTCTTGACCAATGGAGTCCAATCCGTTTCAGGTGTAAGACAGTTATCCACCTCAGACAATAGATGGGGGGTTGCTGAAAGATCATGGATCTACTGAATTTAGACATTAACACCGTTGGATACTGGCTCAGTGGTCTAGAACTTAAGAGTTCGCACGTGTATCCCGAAGGTCTTGGTTTCGTGTTCCGCGTGTGGGATCGTCGGTGCGCACTTCTGAGGAGTCCCATACTAGTGCAAGACGACTTTCCTGTGCTTCTAGGTTTTCAATGGTGGTCTAGCTTAGATCGACTCGTTCATTATTTATTTGTTCATTTGTTATGACAGTTCCCACAGCCTTAGTAAGTAGGTGACTGACAATACTTCAACACAGATATAGAAAACATTTTTGACATCTGATGTAGATCACCTATGATTTAGACCAGGTGTCTGTCTATATTTCTAAAGAGGCTAAGTTTGATTTTTATCTCCTTCGAAACTTGAATCCTGACCAATTGAAGAAGTAAATATACAAAAACTATAAGTGATCGACTACAGAGGTCTTTGAAGCATTAGTCGCATACAGCGGAAATATCAAATGAGTAATGTTATAGTTGGATGTAAGGTCCAAACTAAAAATGATAAATCCATTAATTAAGCTGTAAACTTTCATCTATAACACGGATTAATATAATACTTCGAACATGTTTAAGTACTGCCCATGTTATGTAAATTTTCAAATGACACGTTAAAAATACTTTATAGGTTTTACTTACTTTACCACTCGTATATTAATTTTGTAATGTTTACAAAAAGAAAACTTATAATTAACAGCATTATAATGGAACTTGCGTTCTATATACTCATTAGTTTTATATGATAATATTTTAGTGTTTTGTCTAATTCAATAATAAACTTAGTGTTAAGTAAAAGTTATTCTTCTAATAGCTCCCAAATGCCCTGGTACGGCCGAGAGAGGGGAGAGCCAACTCTCCCTCTCCAAATGTTCTCACATGACCACGTGCATACAACCACTGCTAGGGAAGTCCTACTCACTGCCTTCTCGCGGGATTACTGTTGTTTACGAAATTGAGATGACAAAAAGCGAGTGTCTTGCAGAGGCTTTAACCAAGTTGGTGGACACGGAGGATCCACCTAGGGGAGTTGGAAAACCCTGATTACAAACCAATGTTGCACATGAGACCGCATCTCCGTACGTTGCTCCACTGCCTTGTGGATTAGACATTTAGGTCGAAGGCTCTGAGTGTGGCCCCCTAAGAAAACCACCTACTTCGTTCTGAGCACTCGGGCAGTATTCCAGCCCACACAGAAATCAAATGACTTATGTGACTCATATTAATTCGGTATTCCTTTGTACCAATACTTTTGTGTACAAGTATCAAACGTTCTATGCCTTATAATTAACATTTGATTTCAGAAGAAAACATTTTTCTTATACTGTCTCTCATTTTCACTTGTTTTCTTAATATGATAGATCTGTAATGCCAACTTTTATTTATTTATTTAAAAACATAAACATTGGTACGAGGAGGCACCAAACAGATATGCGCCACATAAATCACTCGATTTGTGTGAGGGCTCGTATACTGCTCGAGTCCACAAGTCGAAGTAGGTTGTTTCCTTAGGGAGCCGCGCCCAGGACCTTTGACCTAAAGGTATAATACACAATGCGGTGGAGCGATATAGGGAGATGCGGTCCCATGGTAGCCAGTGACCAACGATTGGTTCATACGCCATTGGTTCCCTCACGATACTGGATCCCACGTGTACGATCGATTTTGAGTGAGGGTTATCCAACTTCCCTAGGTGAACTCTCCGTGTTCACCAACCCGGCTAAGGCGCCGGACATTCGCTTTTCGTCTTCTCAATTTGACTCTCCTCACTCTCAGCGATACCAGGGCATTTAGGGGCAACTTTACTTTTATAGATTAGTATATTTCTTGATGCTTTCGTTGTCTCAGTTTCACATTTCTAACAATAGTAGTAATATTAATACTCATTACCATTAAAATATTATGTATAACTCTCTGTTTATTTTTGATCCTTTTTTATTCTCTTCTATTTTCAGTTCTCTACTACAATGATTGTATGTATTTAGCTCATGAATGTTTAACATTAGGTGAACGTGGTCTTTATAAATTTGTTCAACAGTTTTTAGACTTAGGCTATGATATCATGACTAATACATTGAACAATACTACTGTTACATCAAATGAATCAAATACATTCAATAATTTGAATATATTAGAAAGATCAGCTTCTTTAAGCACATGTATTTTGGTACCACATTTACGTCAATCTGGTGTTAATAATTTATTAGATCATTTAAGACGTGAACGACAATTTTTATTACGTTATGTTGAAAGGATTCAAGGATTTCATGTAAGTTTCTTTTTATCAAAGAAAGTGTATCTTTGTGTACAGTTTTAATGTTTACAGTTTCTGTTAATAGTTTTTGTTTTTTTTTCAAATTGTATACAAAATTCATCTGTGTATAAACATACATATTTCTGATAAATAAAATGAACCTTCTTTGGAAAAATATTTAATGACAGAAGTAAACTACGTGCATGATCATGAGCCTTTCAGATTTGAAACAGTAATTTGTTTTGAATTTTCGCATGGAATTTAAAACTTACTTTCTCCTGTTACTCCTCATGGAGGAGCATAGACTGCCCACCAACACTCTTCATCCAACCCTGTCTTGGGTAATCCTTTCCAGTTTTTTTCTAGTTGTTATTTATCCTTTTCATATCTGCTTCTATTTCCAGATGTAATGTGTTATTTGGTCTTCCTCTTTTCCGCTTCCCTTCAGGATTCCAAGTTAGGGCTTGCCTCGTGATGCAGTTTGATGATTTGCGTGATGTATGTTCTATCCATTTCCATCGTCTTTTCCTAATTTCCTCTTCAACTGGAAGCTGGTTTGTTCTCTTCCACAGTAGGCTGTTGCTGTTTGTATCCGGCCAATGGATGTTGAGTATCCTGCGTAGACAACTATTTATAAATACTTGTACCTTCTTGATAATGGTTGCAGTAGTTGTCGAAGTTTCAGCTCCATACAGTAGAACTAACTGTCTTGACGTTCGTATTGAAGATTGTGACTTTGATGTTGGTTGACAGTTGTTTTGAATTCCATTTGTTCTTTAATTGTAGGAATGCTGCCCTTGCTTTGCCAATTCTCGCCTTTACGTTTGCATCCGAATTTAAAAGGCAATAACAAATAGTGTGTAACTTATTGATAACTCTCCAAGAATCATTTAAAATATACTACTGATAAACAGGACACAAGACTGAAGGTTAGAAACAAGTTTGAATGATTCTTCAAGGTAACGGTGACATAGTGATCAGTTTCTTTTTCGTGTAGAAAACTGCTGAAATAAAAATATACATGAATTGTTAGCATAATTTATCAATTTATTCAGGCTTATTTGAGCGAGTTTTAAAATTCCTGTTCAAAAAACCACTATCCACATAAATATTCAACATTATATTTCAAAATAGCATTCTATTACTCTAATCTTATTTCTTGACTATAACTTCTAAACCTGACCATTTTTCGTTTATTATAATCAATGTTCCAATATGTGAATTTATTTATTCATTTAAACACATAAACATTGGTACAAGGAGGCACCAAACAGATATGCGCCACATAAATTATTCGATTTGTTTGAGGGTTTGGATACTGCCCGAGTGCACAAGTGGAAGTAGTTGATTTCCTTAGTGGGTCACGCCAGGACCTTGAACCTAAAGGTATAATCCAGAAGGCGGTGGATCAACGTAAAGAGATGCGGTCCCATGGTGGCCAGTGACCAACGGTTGGTTCATATGCCATTTGTTTCCTTATGATCTTGGATCTCATGTACATCACTGATTTTGAATGAGGGTTTTCCAACTCCGCTTGGTGGACTCTCCCCATCCACCAATCCGGTTAAAGCCTCTGCCGGACTTTCGTTCTTCGTCCTCTTTATTTCGTAAACAGCAGTAATGCCACGAGAAGGCAGTGAGTAAGACTTTCCTGGCAGTGGTTGTGTTCACGTGGTTATGTGAGAGCATTTGGAGAGGGAGAGCTAACTCTCCCCTCTTTCGGCCGTACCAGGGTATTTGTGGGCCCAGGTAGAAAAAACATGTGAAGGTTCTTTAAGAAGACTTTTATACAATAAATTGTTTTAGAATTAATTACTGTTTTTTAATTAACTGTAAAGTCACATTACACATTAAAGTTTTACGGTGAAATAATACAAGTTACGCGTGTTAGTATTGTGGTGCAGATATTAGTAGTACATACCAGTAATCGGAAGTGGGATGCTTGTCAGCAAAAGATTGAATTAAAGCGCACAGCAAGGGGAATTGAAATAATAACATAATTGAAGAAATTATAAAGTATATGTAAAGGACAGGTGATGGGAGATGTGTAAATGATGTATTGAATGTATAGTTTTCTCATATTTTGCAAAAGCACTCTATAATTTAAAATTAAACAATAAATTGGTTCGCATAAAGTGATGCACTATTGTTTTTTTCTTTTCAATCATCTCCGGTCATATCATAAATAACACTTCGATTGTACTGTACTAACTTTTGTCGAGCTAGAAGTATGTCTAATCAGGATATCAGTCTATCATTCAATCAGCTGTTAATCTAAATAACATGTAGTATTCAGTCCTAACAGTCATTCAGCAGTGTTTCAGTGGTTAAAACGTTAAACTTTTAACTCACCAAGTCGTATGTTCGAACCCAACATTTACCTAGATTGGTTCTTACAACTGGATAGTATCACTATTCATCATGCAAAATAAGTATAATTCAAAGCTAAGTACACATATGTCTATTTGGTAATGAGACAACGGTGGACGGTGGCTCAATTTCATAGATTGGTTGAAGTTAGACATTAACACCGCTGAATGCCGGCTCAGTGGTCTAGAGGTTAAGCGTCCTGGGCTCGAATCTCACAATGCTGAATCGTGGATGCACATTGCTGAGGAGTCTCATACTAGGACGAAATGATCGTTCAGTACTTCCAGGTTTTTCATGGTGGTCTAACTTCATCTCCACAAAACCACTTCTGATAGTAATCAGTTAATAAATTAGTTCCACAGTATTACAATGATAGAATAAACATATTTCAAATGATTTTCTGTTAATGAATATTATCTATATGAAAAGATATCATTCTCAGTTGGTCTAATCATCAAATTCCATTATTAAACACTTGACATAATGATAATAATTTGATCTTTCATTAATGTTATATTCCATCATCTCAATGATAAACACTATTCTACATTGTATGATAAGCACATATAAACAAACTGATCTATTCTATATTAGGCTTATGATTTATATTATTATTATTATTATTATCATTGAATTGATAAACATATTTACACGTAGAATAAACGTCTCTTTCTTAATTTATAATTAACAAACTAGTGTTTATGCTTGTGTAAATCATTCAAACGAACTTTTGACCGGAAGATTGTATATCATAGAAAGGTATGACTGGCCTCCGACCATTCATATATATATATATATATATATATATATATATATATATATATATATATATATATATATATATATAGAGAGAGAGAGAGAGAGAGAGAGAGATTGCATAAACAATGCCAATTATTTTGTTGTTTATTTCAAGTTATTAATTGAATGTTCGTTACATAGTGCAAGTTATTATTATTATTATTATTATTATTATTATTATTATTATTATTATTATTATTATTATTATTATTATTATTATTATTATTATTATTATTATTGGTGTGTGTTTGTTCTATTAGAAACTCATAAGTACAATATCGTGACCATGGCACTAATTAAACTAACTATAATAAGGGTGTTACTACTGTTATAAATGTAATAAATGTAATACACGAGATACTAGGGATATCTATTTATGCGTCAATGCATTGTTTGATGTACAGTGAATAGGTTTTGATTGAGTTTTGTTCTCTGAGCTAGACACATCTCTCATACAATTCTTGGATAAGATAAAAGAGATCCAAGTTAACAATAACAAATTGATAATATGCTTCTACTTAACAGCCTTATTCATCTTAGTCGAATGAAACATTGTGAAGAAAACTTCATTTCTTTTTCTCATCAATGTTACAAATCTCCTTAAGTATACAAAGTTACAGTCTACTAGAAGTCATCAATTTATGCTTAATAACATATTTTCAATTGAATTACACCTACAAACAGGCGATAAGAATACCAATATGAAGACTTATTTCAGTAGCGGTAATTCAGTGACTGGAAGCCTCAATTTGACCTGTTGTCAAGTCAGAAATGTGGATTCGTCATCATCAAAAAGTAAAAGCTGACAAACACCCACAATTTTATCAACAATGTCATTTTGATGACATAGCATTCACAATGAAAAGGATTCAAACAACAGCTATCATTTTTGGAGACTCAAATATCTCAGAAGCCAATTCACATAGATCAACATCTCAACTATAGTACCAATAACCCAAGAATTTATAAAATCAATTGTGTACAAAAAGATGGGAACGCACTGAAACATACCTACAGTGAGGTAAAATGACGAAAATTATCTGATGACTATCTTTCAAAATAACGGCTACCCACTGAACTTCACCAAAAAATGTCAACCCATCTCATCAGTGGGGATGAAATCAAGTATAGAAACCGACAAATAGATCATCTTACCATGTATAAAAGACACCGGAAATTGTTAAAGTTGTTTGAGACTAGGCGTAGCACACAACTAAACTATACAGCTCAGAAACCAAAGTTCCACCAAAATTGTCCACCTGAGCTACAAATCTTCACCATCTCGATGCAAAATTTATTTTCATCACTTTTGAAATGGAATAACAAATATTATGTACTCAGAGGAGCGAGGTGGCCAGGTTGAGAAGAATATAATCTCTACAACATTAATGCTAGTATGGATAGGTTAAGAGAAGTCAGAAGGAAATAATGATGTAGGTAACATACTGATTCCACTCTTGTTGTAGAACTGTATAAATGTGTAGATCGCACTGATAATGGAGCAGTGGTTTAATTGTTATAGTGTTCAGCTTACAGCCTATAGTTCTCTGATTCGAACGCCGTTTCACTTGTTTCAGTTTGGTCGACTGCGAAGTATCACTAGCTGTGTTACACTAAGAATGTGACTTAAAATCAAATACACGAACTTGCACAACTGGTAAATTAATTGCAATTAGTTCTTTCTTGTGGAAACTAGCAAAAAATAATCGATTTATGACCTTCTCTGAATTTCATTGTTCTAATACATTTCTTATTTTCTCAGATGAAAATATTTCAATTCTCTTTTTTTTATTTTTACATTCCAATGTGACCATTGACTGCATCCTCATGATAGACGAAAATTTTTTTATTTATTCATTTATTTTTTTGAACACATAAACATTGGTACAAAAAGACACCGAATATATATGCGCCACACAACTCTTGATTTGTGTGTGGGCTGTGATACTACCCGAGTGCCCAGAGCGAAGTAGGTGGTTTTCTTAGAGGGCCACACCTAGAGCCTTTGACCTAAATGTCTAATCTACAAGGCAGTGGAGCAACGCAAGGAGATGTAGTTTCATGGTAGCTGGTGACCAACGATCGGTTCGTACGCCATTTATTCCCTCAAGATCCTGGAGCTCATGTGTACCATTGGTTTTGAATGAGGGTTTTGTAACTCCCCTGGGTGGATCCTCCTTGTCCACCAACTCGATTAAATCCCCCACCGGACATTCGCCTTTCGTCCTCTCAATGTCACAAATAACCTCCCTTTTGCGAGAATGCAGTGAGTAAGACTTTCCTGACAGTGGTTGTATGCACATGGCCATGTGAGAGCATTTGGCGAGGAAGAACTTATTCTCCTAGCCATCGGCCGCACTAGGGCATTTGGGGGCAAACAAAAAGAAGTCATGGAACATAATAGAATGAGGTACATTTAAAATGTTGAGTTGCTAACAGTAATATGGAACACTGTTTAGGTGAATTGAATCTTTTTATTATTAAGATTAATCAGTTAGATAAGAACTATGTGTATCTCAACAGAAGTTAAATCATTTCATTTCATATATCAATTGTACCTAGTATTTAATCAAAACCGCTGACATAACAACCAATCAAAAACTTAATAATCTCCACAACCATCATACTAGTAATTAACATGTACTCACTAGTGACTAGCTTCGTGAGGGAATTCTCGGAGTTCTAGTGAGAATCCGTTACCAGTGGAGCTAATCCATGTGTGATAGAGACAGGTATCTACCTCAGTACAATAGAAGATGGTCGCCCAATTTCGTGGATTGGTTGATGTTAGACACTATCACCATTGGATGCCGGCTCAGTGGTCGAGTAGGTTAAGCGTCCGCGTGCGAGACCGAAGGCCCTGGGTCGGAATCCAGCGGGCGGGATCGTTTGTGCGCACTGCTGAGAAGTCTCACAATAGGACGAAATGGCCATCCAGTGCTTCCAGGTTTCCAAAGGCGGTCTAACATCAATCGGTTCATGATCTCAATCAACAACAACTATATGCTAGATAGCATGTTATACTTATTCTCATTGACTAAGTTATAGTATGAAAAATGAAAATAACAATTCTTTGTTAGGTTCATCATTTGATGTTTCTCAATATTTTATAGTATAATGGTATCTAAGTAAGATGTAATTTTATGTTTATGGATTATGTAATTGACTTTTATAGAATTGAAGCATCATGGTATTATGACAGTTACATTTATTAGTCTTTTTTGACTAATTCATTTGGAGAAATTTTAATTTGGCTTGATTGATTTTCATGTTCTGATCTCTCTTTTTGAACTATGAGTGAAAATTGTAGACTTAATTATTCAATCATTCACTTTTAACTTAAGATCTTTCAACAGTGTAAAACTTGGAACATTTTTTCGAAAAATGTACATCGTGATTCCCATATGTTTTTTGCTCTCTTTCTCTCTCGCTCTCGCTTTGTTGCGTAACAATTTCACTTCATCATATCTAGCTTATTATCCTCTAAGCAGCACTGTTGAAGTAAATACGGATAAGTATCTCTAAGTTTTCAGTTTTTTTTAAAAAACTTTTCATAGCTTAGAAAATCAGCGACCAAATTCTTTTGTGTCTGTAAGTTACTAAAATTAAAGAGAATACTACGAAGTGGTTGTTTTTTTCGTGTGTGTGGATAAAATCATGTACTTAAGCTGTAGATTCATCGATTCTGGACACGTTACCCCAAAGAATCATCATCAGCTACAACTTAGGACGAAGAACATATGGATGGTAGCCTGCTTGATTATCTGGATTACGTGTTTCTGACATCAACATATCTCAAAAAGTTACTTATCGTTTGTTTGTTTTAACACATCTTATTCTCATAACCTATTTAGGCCTTACAGCATACAAAAAAGTACAATCAGAAACATTGTATTGGATGTCAGTATGCATTGAAAAGAATGATCATTGTTCAGATTTCGATTTCTGAACTGTTAACATCCAATTGGTGATAACTCAGTATTTATCGTTAGGATAGATAAAGAAACAAGGAGAGGAAACTTGATGAAATACTTTGTGCTGAGGATTCTATATTGTACCAAAAACCTGATATTGAATAAAGTCACTAATAATAATGACAATGATAGCATCAAAGAGGGGAAAGGTAAATTGAATAAAAAAATCACACATTTCTAGGGTGCTGGCAATTCATCGATCCAAGCCTTAACTCTGCGTGCAACTCCTCAACCTTTCATGACCCTAGTGTCCTTTTCCAATGTGTTTTGGTTTTGTTTTCGAGTTCTACCTGGAGCTCTCCTAGGTTTACTCCAGATCTCAAGCCCAGGTAAATGAGGCTAGTTGGACTTGTGGTTAGCAACCCTGTTTCTTAAAGAAGAACCTCAATAAAAATCGTTAGACCTTACTTTACTTTACTTGCTCTTGTTACCTCTCGTGAGACATGGGTCACCGACCTTGATCATCATCTAACTTTTTTGTATGGTTATCATAACCTATATGTTTTTTATTTCCTCTTCCTATCTGTAAGCAGTTACCTTTCTTATTTTTGACCAGCAAATTATTCTCATCCCTGCCCAATTTCATAATAACCTCTCGATATTTCAAATCTTGAATCACTTTATGATGTAATTCTATTTTTATTCTCTTATAGACTAACATATATTTATCAAACAACTGTAACAAATATACAGCCTAAGTAAATGGAAGCAAAAATTTCTGTGTTGAATTCTCTTAACTCTTATGATTCATTGACACAATGAATTACTTTTGATTAACAGTGATTATTTAACTCATATGTTTGTTATAGAATGTCAGTTCCTCGATTGGTAATCGTCATTGTACTACAGCTATTGAAGATTGTTGTCATCATTTGCATAAAATTTCAGAAGCACTCAGTCCACTTCCTCGTACAGTTTATTTTCGTGCTATGGGTAAGTTTATACTAAATCGATTTGGATATTTTTTATTTATTTTAAACACACATAAACATTCGTACAAGGAGGTACCAAAAACATATACTCCACAACCTCGTCATTCGATTTGTGTGAGGGCTGAGATACTCCCTGGGTGCCCAAAGCGAAGCAGGGTTTTTTCTTTGGAAGCTACACTCGAAGCCTTTGACCTAGAGGTCTATTCCATAGGGCAGTGGAGCGACATTAGGGGATGCGGTCCCATGGTAGCCCGTCCATGCACCATTTATTCCCTCAGGTTCCTGGAGCTCATATGAACCATTCAATATGTTCCTCATTGTTTTTTTCGTGCTTGGTTAGTTTAAATAAAGTTAGAATGAACCGCGTACTCTGAAGCAATGAGAGAGAATAGGTTGAAACTAGTGATAATAATGATAATAAATTTTTCTAAAGAGTCATCGTATTTTGGTTTGAACAGATGTGAATTTCACCAAACTACCTTAAGTTTAGCAATGTCTTAAGGTTAAAATAATGATGAGTTTTGTTTTTGAATATGTAATGATACCGTTATTAAATTAAAAGAAGAAATAAGAACAAATTCTTTATGCTCTATAAAAACCAATGAAGAATGAATTATTTATTTTGGCACCGATCTATAAAGCTCGTTTGGTTTTCTGTCAACTGACATCACTTATGAGGTACACGAGGTATTCGTCTACCAACCAAAAAACAGGTTAGCTGGACACCTGTATGTCCTGTTCTACTTTGTCTCTGTGATACGTGACCTTTAGAAATAGAGAATATTCGTATATTGCTATTATTTGATCATATTTACCTGGTGTAAGTTGGGACTATCGAGTGAACAACGGTCAAGCTAGATCTAGGGTATTAAATAAAGATTACAAATCGGTTTATGTATTAGTCAATATCCATAGACTGAGATTAATGAGACATGTATTACATAGCCTAAACACTACCTACCTACCTACTTAGACAGATGATGTTGACTGGTGGAGTCGGTTGAAAGTACACTACGAACGGCCAAACTATAATGTGACTGTTAAACTGTATTAAGGTGGAAGGTAGGTACAGAATACGTGGTTGGGGTTCATGCAATTATTGAAACCAATTGTTGGAGGCGTTGGATTATATGACTGTGTATCAGTCACAATGGTATAGATACATTCACTCTTCGTCTTCCCCCCAGATATAGAGTTTCAAATTGATCTTATACGTTTCCTATTTTACATATTCATTCTTCTTTTCTAATGTTTTCTATTAACATTAACCTTGTTACTAATTCTACTACTCTGTTTACAATTGATTGATTACATGACCAATATCATGTTTGTTAAGTGCTTCTTAATGCTGATAAAATTCTATTGATCAAGTTGCAACATGGATCCACCAGGCAACATCAATGCCTTCAAGATTACTGATATCATTTGCTGACAATTCTCATATACGTTCAGAGCATACTAACAACTATCTCCAGTCACTTGAAATCTCTACTACCCTAATATATGTGTTCGGAATGTCATCTCATTGTGCTGATATGATGTGGGGAGATAATCATTGCATATTCATATCGGATTCTACGTTGCGCATAACTGCTTTAAGTGTTTTAATAATTTATACTTACTCTTCATCTTTTAAAAAAATAGTTTTGTTGAAAATTCTTATAGTTTTAAGTCAAATATTTCTTCAATAGTTCTCCAGTTGTTGTTAATCATGATGAGAGATAACTTCTAACTCGCTACAAGATCATCTAGATCGATACTAATCGCGTCTGCTCACTAGTAACTATCTTCAATGTGAATTTTTCAAATCTCTATTATGAAACTGGAATCGTTAAAAGTCAGTTAATAAGAACTTTGAGCATTTCCTGAATACTTAACATCACATCGGTTATGAGTCGCGAAACTTCACAAAGTTAAAGGTGTAGAAGCCTTAATTCTGACTGTATTGTATCGTGGTTCTGCATTTGATTCGGTGGTCGGGCTTGCCTATCGTGATGAAGCAACCGAGCTATACTGGCTGGAACAACCGTTCCTCAAGGTCCTACCATGTCAGACAGGTCGGTTGAAGAGCGGTAAGACTGTGTCTCTGAAACACGCATACAGGATTCCAGTGTGGTCATTCACTTGACCTCACCTCGGCAAAACAGAGAGCCAACGAGATACACCCTACGTGTATCTGGTGACCCGATGGCCAGTTCTCGTGGACCGGCAGGTGTAGGCATAGCACTAAGCATGAGGGCGGAACAAGCACTGCTAGAGTGGATCCCCGTCAACAGTCGTCTATGGGCTGTTCGGCTAAACGGCTCCGTAAGAACTCGGAAGGATAGGGACACACGTCGTTGCCTTTTTCGTCGTTTCTGCCTACACTCCCACTGACTGCAGCTCAGATGATGTGAAAGATGAATTTTACAGAAAGCTTTCTGAACTTCTTCAGAAAGCTAAACGTTCAGACATAGTACTCGTAGCAGGTGACTTTAATGCCCAGATAGGTAGTTTAAACCAAACAGAAAGGCATTTAGGTGGATATTTTAGCATTCCGGGACAGCGAACAGATAATGGTTATCGTCTGTTGCAACTGTGCTCAGACAATCGCTTATTTTTAGCAAACACAAATTTTAAGCATAAGGAAAGACATCGTCTAACATGGCGACCCCCTACACCAAACCAACGATGGACTCAAATAGACTATATTGCCATCAGTCATCGTTGGAGAGGGTCGGTAGAAGATTGTCGCTCATTCTGGAGTTCCTGCTTGGACTTCGGCCACGCCCTAATACGGGTACGCATCTGCTTGCGCCTCACTGGACGCAAAAAAGCCACATTAAAAAGACCCATTAGAACTGAGTTGAGTAGCGAGAAAACCAAAAATAGTTTCCAAGAACAACTGAGGTCACAGTTAGGTAGTTCTGAAGACGAGGCTGACCCAGATGTTGCTTGGAAAGACATACAAGCAGCTGTGGAAACAGCAGTGACATCTATCAGTGATTTGAAACACAGAGTTACAAAGAACCAGTGGATTTCTTCAAAGTCTATCACACTGATGGGTTCTCGCAAACTCGTCCCATCAGGTTCCGAACATGATGAAGAGCGACAACAAATCAGAGATAGGTTAAGAAAAAGTCTAAGAAACGACCGTGAGCAGTGGTAGGCAATGAAAGCAAAAGAGATGGAACAGGTGGCGACTCTAGGGAACACAAGACAGCTTTACAGACTAATAAAAGAAACTGGAATTAATAAGTCAAGTGTAAATGAGATTATATCGGAAAAAGACGATACTCTCATCTGCTCCCAGTCCAGACGTTAAGAACGATGGGCGGAACATTTCAGAGAACAGTTCAACTGGCCTTCAGCTACTCTACAACTACCCTCCATTCCCAGACAGCGTGAATGGAACATTGAAGTAGGTCCCCCAACTCTTGCTGAAGTTCAAAAGGCTATAGTTAGTCTGAAACGAGGAAGGGCAGCTGATCCAGATGGATTGGCTCCAGAGGTCTTTAAGGATGGTGGTCCAATTTTAGCGATTAGGTTGACTAATATTTTAGCTAAGATCTGGGAATTAGACGTTATTCCATCTAACTGGTCACAATCACTTATCGTCCCAATATATAAGAAGGGGTCAAAATCATCCTGTGACAACCACAGAGGGATTAGTTTAACTAATATAATATCTAAAATACTAGCCTCGATAATTATCAGACGCCTAACTAAGACTCGTGAACTGCAAACACGAGAGAATCAAGCTGGCTTCAGACCTGGTCGTGGCTACATCGATCACATATTCACCATTCGTCAGATTCTAGAACACAGACATACTTATCGGCGTCCGACAATGGTGGTCTTTCTCGACTTAAAAGCAGCATTTGACTCTGTAGACCGCGAGATTCCGTGGCAGTGTCTGTCATTGAAAGGCGTACCCCAGAAGTACATAAACCTTGTGAAGCCTCTTTACTCGAACACTACTAGTCGAGTCAAAGCTTATGGCGAACTGTCATCTACTTTTGCAACCTCAAGTGGTGTCCATCAAGGCTGTCCACTTTCCCCATTTTTGTTTAACTTCATCATAGATCTACTGATGGAAATAACTTTCACGTCGACTGAGTTCTCGGGTATTGGCGCTCTCTTGTACCAATATTCATGTGTTCAAACAAATAAATAAATACATTCACTTTTCGTCCTCTCATTTTCGTAAACAACACCCGTGATGTGAGAAGGCAGTGAGTAGGACTTCCCTGGCAGAGGCTATATACGCGTGGCCGTGTGAGAGCATTTCGAGAGGGAGCGCGGGACCACCTTACTCTCGGCCACACCAGGGCATTCGGGGGCCATTTAAATTCTACTTAATCAATTATATCAAACGTTATAAGGCAGGTGTTACTGTTAGTAAGTTTATATCATGAATATTTGACTGATGTCTTTTAAATTTGATTAACTTCACTTCTAGTGTGAAATGTTTAATAATTCTATTACATAACCATCTACATCATGATTAGTCGAACTGTTTTCAAACACACATTACTTAATTAGGTAGGTACTTAAGAGTTTAATACTCTGTGCACTTCTACTTTACTACAAAATTAAAACAATATAGTCTACAATATGTTCTACTACTATTGAATGATGTAAATAATTAAAGTTATTATATTTTGTTCATTATCATATGGTTTCTTTTTCTTCTATTCCTTTTATAACTTTCAGGGATCATGTGTAATTGTGTTTGTACGGAATTAGTAAAAACTATCTTGAAATTAATCGATATTACGAAATCAGATTGTGATAACATTCTGATCTTGTTGGAGTCTATCAAAAACACTGTAAGCTATTGCTATTATTATTATTATTATTATTACTATTATTATTATTATGGTGAAGCTGAAGTATAAGGACGAACTTGAGCATAATTGTAAATGATTTTCTGATAAGACATTGACACATTCAGCTAATCCAGTATGCAATAATGATGAATGAGCGATTTATGTGGCCCATGATTAGAATTTCTATAAGTTATGGATGTATAGTCAGAATTAGAATGTATAGCTTAGTTTCATAATTGGAACTAAGATATAATATCAGAAGGGGTTTTGTGGAAATAGTAGTAATTTCAATAGTTGAGATCATGAGTCAGTTATGAGGTAGTAACTCACTGATGACAATGGTGGATGTGTTGCTCAATTTCGTGGATTAGTTGAAGTTAGACATTAACACCGTTGGATGCCGGCCAGCTCAGTGGTCTAGTTGGTTAAGCGCATGGCGCGAGACTGATAGGTCCTGGGCTCGGATCCCGCGAGGTGGGGTCGTGGATGCACACTACTGAGGGGTCCGACAATAGAACGAAATGGCTGTCCAGTGCTTCCAGGTTTTCCATGGTGGTCTAGCTTCAATTGACTCATGATCTCAACTATTGAAATTAAGATCTAATGCTTATAATTTAGGTTTCTAAGGTTTAAAGGATTGATATAAGTTTAATTAGTCCTAAGCTCTATATCTTCACTCCGAACACCCCTGATTCTAACTCTAAACTATATATTCTGACAAATTAAGAAAAAAACATTTTCATATTCTCTTGAATAAACGTTTTTAATACGATTAACTGTTAGCTGTTCTGTTATTTCATCTAATTCATCATTCGTAAACGACATGTTCATTTGATAGAGATACTTCGTGGCTTTAAAACGATTCCTCGGTTCATGACTGACTCACCCTCATAGCTTAATTTAGTCATTAATATTATTCACCATTTAAATAGATATGTTTTGACCAGGAGGACAAATGAATGGTGATAATAATCCATTGTCTTTGTTGCTATCATTAAGCTTAACAGTTCAATATTTTTTCGGTCAGGGGAGCTATACAGATTAAATATAACTAGTAATAATTTGATTTATTCACTAGGTAGGTAACTCAAATACACCACATACACTGCAAGTGTGTTATCTATGATATCTGATTTCGTTTACACATTTTATTGACTTTCTTAAAAAGGTAAAGAAAGGTTGGACTTTTTTTATTTTCAGAGAGCTGTAGCATCAATGATAATTGTGTTATAAAATTATCATTATAGGATAACTTGAATTCTTGTCGGATCATGGTTAAAATACAGATTTGTATCCCAGATAAATCAATTTTTATACAACTACTTTTCTGTGACTTTAATGATATATTATCTTTCGACTGTTAGTTTTCACATTCAAACTCCGTTCTGCCTTCTTTTTTTGGGGGGGGGAGGACGACAAGTTTGGTAGTATTTCTAGCTTTGTAATAATACTGTGACTAAGCACCTAATAAAGACAACACTCATATATAGCCATTAAGTTTGATGTTCAAGTTAGTAACCTTTTCTTTACTGTGTATATTTCAAAGACAGAGTAAATAGAGAATCTTCTGGTGCAATGTGATGTTTTTCCTGATTTTACATTATCCTTAACGTGATCTATTTCAATAATCAGAGAAGGATTTATGTGAATATTATAGTAATTTAGTAGTTGAATTCATGAGTCAATTGAAGCTAGACCACCATGGAGAACTTGGAAGCACTGGACGGCCAGTTTTCCATGAGGATAAGGTTTATTTGACGCTCTTCATTTCTGTTTAAACAATATTCGAAGATTAACGAGAATATTTTTACATATGGATTTAATATCTCTTAAAGGGTCGTCGAAAAAACCGGATTGTTGTATGATCTAAAGTCTTCGCTTCCATTAATTGTAAAGTACACAGTGCGTTGGGAATTGAAAACAGATATAATGAATAGCAATAATATTAATGAACGGCAACTGGAAAGTCAAGTGCACGAATGTTGGTTGGAGATTAGTGGTCGACAGCTCATGCTCCTCGAGGTTTAACAGGTGTACGTAAGTAGTTACACAGGAAGATGATGAAGGGTTGGCAAAACTTGGTGTCCCAGCTGAATAACTGACAATAGTGCTAAGGTCATACTGTGGTGCGTGCTACTTATATTGACATAAGTAGTATATAACGCGATTCAGGAATGTAATGTCTGGCAGCAGAAGATTGGGAAGATCAAGAAAGGAAGGACGAAGATGGAAAGCAATTAGTATAGAAATGTAAGAACAATGAAGTCCAAGACAATTATTGAACATTTTGCAAATTAAGTCAGTCAGTCAGTCAGTCAGCTACAACGTAGGACCAGGTACATATGTGCATCGGTCCAGGTTGCCATACCTCATTAGCACAACAAGTAACTCTGTAATGTCGTGCTGAATATAATTTGGTTGTCCTCACCTGTGTTCTCCTTCAATACAATACGAATAGTCAAGTGAGAATGAAACGCTAGCGGTTACTATTACTAACATGATTATAACATTCTAAACAAAAAAAACACTAATCCTGTAATCTCTTTAGCATAGGATTACTGATGGTGTAGTTTTTTCTTTTTATCGTTTTGACCCAATTTTCCTTTGTTCTTTTCTCCCCCCTCTCTTTCTCCCTCTTTCTCGCCCTGTTTATATAATCGATCGGTTAGTGTGTCCTCATATTGTTATTTATTTATTTTTCTCTTCCTAAATAAATAAAATGATAATAATATTCATTCCTTCCAATTCATTTTGAATACTTCTCTTCATACAAAGGCTGAAGTTTTATAGATTATAACAAACTATACAAATAACCTTGAACTACTTTTCAAAACTAATACGTGTAAATTCTGTTTCGTTTTGGTTATGTGATTTATCAATAAGAATCTGATACAATTAGAATTGATAAACAGTTTCATTAATCTAATAATAGATGTTTTTCTATTCTAAATCATGAAAGGCTTTCATCATAGATGATTCAATCAGCTGTATTAATTTGTGTAATCATTTCAGTGAATTTCGCTCTGAAATCTGATTGGTTCATTCATATGCTTTATTTTTACCGCCCAATATTTTCATAATTCAATGAATCAAGTTTTGTTCACTTCATCCAATGATGCTTTTCGTTCATTATTATTATTATTATACTGTAACCTTAAGGTATTTACGCTGGTCAATCAATATTTTGCTTGTTCGAACACACACTTCTCTCCCATTTAAGGAAGGGAATTTTCTTGTGACCTGATAATTCCTTAAGTCAGTAGAATAGACGGGAAGTTAATTTGAAATAAACTATGTATCTTCGTTGTTATTCAAAAAAAGTGGGGATGGGTGGGTGGTTGGTTGAAAAACTCAGTTAGATATCAACATTTTTATGAATGTATTTTGGTGTTTGATTCCAAGTTATTATTTAACAAGAAAGAAAGTGTTTTAGTAAATATGTTGACGATAATATGAAAAGTTGAGGCAGAATTGGGGAATTTGTTAGTATATTACTTGAAAATTACGCTGAATACCTGCTGTTTTCTGAATTAGCCTTGTATCGTCCGAGAATTTGTGGTAGACTGACTGATCCCTGTCTCACAAAAGTATTCATAACACAATAGCTCTATGTAATAAACTGGCTCTCTCTCCACTTTTGCAACCCAGTTCTATTGTCAGATAACAATACACAACGTAGCAGCCGTTGGGATAACATTCGTAAAACATGTCCAAGCTACTGATGTCGGTGTTTCTTGTTGATGGTACCAATAAAGTTATCGTCACTGCGGTCGGACACGTATTCCTGAACCTCAACGTGATGTTCCCCCTGGATATCAGCAATCCTTTGAAGAACCTTTTCTAACCTCCTTCCTATGTGAATGGGCAGCGTCGCTTAAGATTCTGGTCTTTTAACGCAAACACTGTCATACCCCAACACAGTTACCAGTATGACTTTAATCTAGAATCTTTTACTTTTTGTTTCGTTGCTTCCCAATCCACCTACGTTGGATGGTAGGACCTAAATTAACAAATTTTTCAGTCATTATAGATCAATTCAGTTATCACAAGCCTTGATCACGACGTCTAGTTAACAGCTACGATTGAACTTGACTAACCTAAAAAAATTATTCTTCCCTTTTTGAGATTTTCTCAATGTCCACAAACAAGACACTGTATTGATTTTATTATTGTTTGATTATTATTGGTTGATGTTAGTTTCGAATTTTTAATGATGAATTTATTATTTGCAACTTTTTAAGCATCCATCACTCCGTAGAAGTTTTATGTTAATCGATTCCATAAAGTTTGATGTAAATTTATTCATCTATGGTTACTCGTTAGTTGCTACTAATATTGCATTGATTCATGTAAGTAGCTGCAGACTATCTTGTTGAAATCCAAGTGACTATCGAAATCAGTGGTTGTTAACTTTGGGTAATATGGTTTAAAATCGTTCGCAATAGCGTACGGTTATTCACTCTTTGTCTTTGTCATATTTTCTTTTCAACTCCTATCGTCGATGCCTGATCTTTTTCATTTCTACTACTACTATTACTATCTCCTACTATTCCGGGCATTTTCCTGACAATCTCATTTCGCTGTGTTAATAAGCTCTGTTAGTTTGAACTGATGTACACATGTTCCGTGTTCTGTATTGTGTATGACCGACTATTACCATTACATAGTTACGTAAATGAATAAACCCCAACCCAAACTTTGCTGTTTCACAGTTCACATATAGTTGGCTAAATCATTCGATCCTATATTGTGTACACTAGATGTTTTCTCAGGTACATAAAAATAACTAGTAAGGTTATTGCTCCTCGTTTTTGTTGTTGGAACCATTAGGAATTTAATATATTTTTTTACCTAATTTTCTATCCTATTGATTAGATCGTGGAATTTTTCAAACCTTCTGAAGTTGTACATCAACCAGCTGCAAAAGAATCAATAATTAAATCACAGCATGTAAGTACACTTTTCTTTTTTGTTAAAGGAATATGAGGAAAAATGAAGTTATTACTGTATGAAAGATTTGTGGGAATTGTTGAGTTTCATAAGTAACATCATGGACTAAAATTAAAAAAAATCTGTTTTGTCCTAGTCTGGAACTTTTCAGCATTTTGCATTTATAAGTTAGGCTCTCGCCGTTAAACTCAAAGGTCCCTTGTTCGATACCCTGTGGTGGGGTTGTGGATCTACACTGTCATTGAAGAATTCCGTGCTATACGTAGTAGTTGTCCGGTGCTTCTTGGTTTTCATTGACTGGCTCAATAAAATCAGTGCGCGATGTAAATGACTTAACATTTCATTGACCTATTGGATGGATGCTCGTGTTTGACAAAACGTTTGTTTTGTACGTAGTCTTTATATTTTGTATTTAATAATAAATATCGGCTTTTAAGTTATTCGTTGCGAGTTTCGAAATTTTAAATGTTTTGTTGGAAGTGAAACAATCAGAATCCTTGCCTGCACTGAATTAAATCCTTTTCGGGGTAGTACTTGTGAAATATAAACTTACATTACCGTTCTACTTAACGTGTGTTGAATACTATAATCAATAAATATTTCGTAAATTAGGCCCCCAAATGCTCTTGTACGGTCGAAGGTGGGGAGAGTTAACACTCCCTCTCGAAAGGCTCTCACATGGACACGTATTCATCCACTATCATGGAAGTTCTACTCACTGTCTTCTGGCGAAGGGGGGAGGGGTTGTATGCAAAATTGAAAGGGCGAAACGCGAGTGTCCAATGGGGACTTTAACCGAGTTGGTGGACACAGAGGATCCACCTAGGGTAGTTGGAAAACCTTGATTCCGAACCAATAGTGTGCATAGCCTGCAGTATCCTGAAGGAATAAATGGCGTATGAACCGATCTTTGGTCATCGGCTACGATGGGACTGCATCTCCCAACATTGCTCCACTGCCTTGTGGATCAGACCTTTAGGACCTACTTCGTTTTGGGCATTCGGGTAGTATCACAACCCACACACAAATCAAGTGATTTATGTGGCGTATATATATTCGGTGTCTCTTTGTACCAGTATTACTGTGTTCAAATAAATAAACTTACATCATCCTGCAAGCATGTTTGTTTTCTTCTGATGTACATGGCTTTATGTAAAGTGACTTTATTCAAAACAAATCATCAATAAAGTTTGTTTTAATCGAAATCATTGTTAGTTGTAAACTTCAAAAGTAGAATTAAGCTCTTCAAGATATATCAGTCAATGTTATTTTGATGCAAATGTACTGATATTTATGAATCATTTATTCAAATTTATTAAGTTTACATTAGCATTTTCACAGTCCATATAACTAATGTTTTTTTTGGGGGGGGGGTTAGATTATTGAATGTCAATTAGTTGTTTGTTTACTAAATTTCTCATTTATTCTATGTATAATACAATTGAAATGGAAATAGTGCATGAAATGTAAATGTTATTGTTTGAATTAAGTCTATATGTTTTACACCATCTTATCATAACTGTGTATTCGTTATTTGAATCATCCCGTTGGTGTTGAGAATTACAATGGATCAGTATCTATTTTTTTGAGGGTAGGGGGGAGGGTAGAAATGTGTACGCTGTGTAGGTTACTTTGATATTGCCATTAATTCACAAACAATTTGATAAGCTGAAATGAATAATGGCGCGTTCCGTTCTACTTAGAACTTTTCAACTGAATGTACCTGGTATATCCAAGTTAATGTTTATTCTGGGACATATAGAACGAAACGTGCATTCTGGATTCAACTGCTTGCCAATATCAGTAATTTAGTTGTTCGTTTGTAAAGAAAACACAACTAGAATGTATTCACTATAATAACGGATAAATATTTTTATTAGATTCGAACTAAAATGCCAAACGTTCCGAGTTATTTATGTTTTTTTAATTCGCATAAAATCTGGTACGACTTTATTTATTTGAATACATAAATATTGGTACAAAGGGGCACCAGATACGTATGCGCCACACAAATCTCATTTGATTTGTTTGAGGGCTGTGATACTGCCCGGGTGCCCGAACCGAGGCAGGTGGTTTTCTTAGGGGACCACATCCGGATCCTTTGACCCAAATGGACTCTCCGTGTCCACCAACCAGCATAAAGTGCCGGACATTCGCTTTTCGTCCTCTCATTATCGTAAACAGCACCCGTGGTGCGAGAAGGTAGTGAATAGGACTTCCCTGGTAGAGGCTATATACACGTGGCCACTTGAGTGGATTTCGAGAAGGAGAGCTGACTCTCCCCACTCTCGGTCGTGCCAGGGCATTTGGGGGCCGACTTTGCACCAAAAATAATATGTTCCAGAAGGATGTTTGTGTGTAGACTGTTGTACCACCACCTATGGACCTAAATCGAGACAAATATTTTCCTTACGTGAACATTGCCTGAGTCTATGGTTAAAGGTCTAATTGAAATCGCATTTAAACAATATCAGGAGTTACCATCTTTTGGTAGCCAGTGACCAAAAATAGGTTTATGCACTATTTTCCTATCCCATTATGTGGACCGTCCGTGGGCATCAATTAGGTTTAAGCACTGGAATTTCAATTTTCTTACTTTTACCTTCGTAAAAAACACCTACATGATGTGAAGAAAGTGATTAAGTTTTCTCTGGAAAGCGATGTAACCGCATAACTGTGAGAGTATTCCAAAGGAGCGATCGAGTTTTCCCTATCTTCAACCGTACCAAGACATTTAGAAACTGACAACTTATGTTCTGCTTTTCGTTATTCTTACTAAGACGTGTCAACTTACGAGCTTTGTACCGATATTGTATTTGAACCTGTGTTAGTCATACTTATCTAATGACTGGTATAAAATTGATTGCCTAAACTGTCGTTAAACAGCTACAACTACTACTTAAGTACTGGATTTCAAGCTTGTTAAACTAATATTAACCTGAGATTTCATATGTTAATTCTCATTATTCATATGTACTGGGTTGATTGAATTATGGCATATCCAACTTTAATAGGTTTCAGGCATATGCAAGAAATAATTTTTCTCTTAACTTCACTGCAATCTACAACTGACTATAATCTCTATACAACTTCATATGTTGTTTTGTGAGAAGAAAAAGTTTTTATTCATTTTCGAAACAATAAAATTATTATAAGCAAGGATGGATAGTGGATAACAGTGGAATCCAGGACGCACGTTTCGTCCTATTTGGGACTTGTCAGCTGAATGTACCTGCATCTCTGAGTTTGATGTTCACTCAACCCAGTACTGTTTGTTATGACCTTTTGATGTCTGACTTTTCTATCACACGACTTATCTACCAATCCGAGTACGACTTATACGAATCTTCACACTAGGCCAACCAATGACGTTCAACCGGTGTGGGCAGTTTAGCGTCCTTATTGGTCCTATGTCCTCCGAGCCCTTCCACTTGAGTCCAGAATACAATACCAGCTTCCGAATCAGAGCAGATCGTTTATTTCATGCATACTTGGTTTATATATCAATCACACAGACCGCAACGTACCATAAAATAGGAAATAATATTTGTACACAAATAAGCCCAAAAAGTGGCTGTGAATGTGGGAGGCAGTAGTTAATAAACTGAACATAACTTAAGAACCGTAAATCGTACAATAATAAGTTATAGGTCAAAATAAAGCTTATCATAAAAGGAATATAAATATACATAGTGTAATTGCTGAGTGGTTATACAATAAGAATATTTATAGAATATTAGTCCATGAATAGTCCTCGGAAGTTACCTGTAATTTAATCTTCACAGGATATAACACTGTTCACTTCAAAACGCCATCGCGTTATCCACTTAGTTACTGAGTCGTGACAGTCACTTGCTTGTGAAATGTATCTTTGCTTATAATGCTTGTAAATTAAGGCAATATCGAGGCAATACGCACAGTATGCACATATACCAATAAGAGACTGATCAATATCAGTCCTAAATATCATTGGGAAGATTCAAGGAAACAATACCAAGTGAATACAATTATTGGTTTAAGTTTATTAAAAGAGTAATATCTTCTTGCAAGTAAATTTCAGGTACTTGTGTACAACCTATACTCTAAATATTAGGGCTGATGATAATACACGGCTGCCCAAACCAAAATAGGTAGGGTTGGATTTCGAATCTCGAACTCAGTAGCCGTAAGTCGAGTGCTTCAATTGCTAAACTATCGCCTTCGTGTTTGGTGTATATGTGAATGTCATTTAAGCATCTGGTTAACGTTTTTTATACAGCTACGTTGTTGTCAATGGGATAGAGTTGCTAACCGAATCTTTAAGAGAGGGAGAGAGAGATGTAGAGTAAGATGATATTACTCACCCTTCCAATTTGAAGTAGAGGAAGAGGGACTCGAACTTGAAGCCTAATAGTATGAAAATCAACCACCTTATTTCCACAAAATCCTTTCACTCTGTCTAACAGCTTCTTTTTTTCTTACCTCCATTGATAAACAATCAAAATAATCATAGCGAATAGTATATTGTCACTTGAATTTCGGCAAATCAATCTAAATTGTCAGTTGATATCAGTGTCTATACGAATCAAATTCATGAAAACAATTCTCATAAAAATAATTCTAAAACCAAGTTATTACTTATATCCATTTTTATATCATCCTTCATTTTGGATTTGATGATTAACTCCTTATTACAATTGGCAAATGTGTATAATCAGTAGAATTCAATGCCGTGGTATGGCCGAGAATGGGGAGAGTCCGCTCTCCATCTCGAAATGCTCTCACACGGCCACGCGTATATAGCCTCTGCCAGGGAAGTCCTACTCACTGCCTTCTCTCACCACGGGGGTGTTGTTTACGAAAATGAGAGGACGAAAAGCGAATGTCCGACACTTTAACAGGATTCCAAACCAATGGTGCACATGGGCTCCAGTATCCTGCGAGAACAAATGGCGTATGAACCAATTGTTGGTCACCGGCTTCCATGGGACTACATCTCCTTACGATGCCACACTGCCTTGTGGATCAGACCTTCAGGTCGAAGGCTCGGGGTGTGACCCCTAAGATAGCCACCTGCTTCGGTTTGGGCACCCGGGCAGTATCACAGCCCTCACACATATCGAATGAGATTTGTGTGGCTCATATGTATTTGGTGCCTCTTTGTACCATTATCTATGTGTTGAAATAAATAAAATAAATAAAGTACTAACAGAATAGGCGAAACTATAATTTATGGAAGAAACAATCAGATCTTGGTTAAATACCATTTTGGTATTGTAACTGATGTCAGTTCATGATGAAAGCACTAAATCTTATTCCTCACATTATTTTCTAACCCTCATAACAAACCTGGTAATTGGGTGGAAATTCCAAGGTTTATTTTGGCCTTGCTCAAATATCGTTTCTAAATTGTAGCCTCATCACAGATTGGATAATACGACATTGATTACTGCTTAATAATCAATTAATTGTATATACTTCAACAGTCATAATGTCTTAGACTATGAAACTGAGTAACAAGTTTGAATCTTTTACAACGGATGTCAGTTTTATCAAAGTGACAAATATATATTCTAACATGAGACTTAAATCAAACAATGTTTTCTATTGATTACCTCTCATTATCTAACATGATGTATATATGTGTGTAATAAATTGTAAAATTCCAGTTGATTAACTCATATAGACCTTTAAGTCAAAGACTTCGGGTGTAGGCCCCCCCAAGAGAGCCAACTGCTTCAGTTTGGGAGCCTGGGCGAGTTATCCAGCACCAACACAAATCGAATAATGAAGTCTGACACATATATATATCTTCTATTTGCTATCTCCTTGTATCAATGTTTATGTGTTTAAATAAATAAATAATCCGAATTCTTTTTATTAATCTTATACTTCATAGAATTACAATACTGATGAATTATTAACAAGACGTTGTCCAGATTTTCATCGTTTACAAGGTATTATATCAGTATTATCTGCATCATCATTAGCTGAAATTCGTGATATATTATGGAATGATGGTAATGGACCATTATCTATTGAATCTCATTTAACAACATCTGAATTACGTTGTTTAATAAAAGCTTTATATAGTAGTTCATCATTTCGTGATGAATTATTACAAAAATTACATTGATATTTCATCCCTCCCCCTCCCTATCCCCCTTCGTCCTCTGACTGTATTTTCGTTTTCATTTAATGTTCTGTTTCTTTGTAATAAGATTTTCTTATGTTTCCTTTGTTTTTTTGGGTTTTTTTTTTGATAAATCAATAATTACTTACTTACTTACTTACGCCTGTTACTCCCAACGGAGCATAGGCCGCCGACCAGCATTCTCCAACCCACACTAACCAGAAAATCAATAATAATAATAAGTGTATGTAAATGGGTTTGTATTTTAAATAAGAACTTTCGTCTAAATTTGATTAGAATAGTTTCACAATATTTGGGCGCCGAGTTGATATGAGACATTAACTAGGAAGAATGTTGTATTTGTAAAATCTCAATGAATGAATTTGAAGTAAATCTAACATTTCACCTTGGCAATTTGGTTCAAGCTTTTTCAAGAAAATATAATCAAACATTTACTTATCGTCCTTTCATTTTTGTAAACAGCACCCCCCACTATAAGAAGGCAGTAATTCAGACTTTCTTGACAGTGGTTATATCCACATGATCATGTGAGAGCATTTAGAGAAGAAGAGCTCACGTTCAACTGTAAAAGATCATGTGAGGGCTGAGATACATCACATCAATGATATTATAAGTTAGCTTTCTAGTTTTCAATAATGAAACTGACAAATTTAAACGACTGATGTGTGTAGAATGATATTTCGGCTTGTATTTTCATTAATCAGTCAAGGAATATGTTTATTAGTCTTCTCAGTGTTGCAACTAAGGTAATGGAATTGATTATTTTCTGAGATTCATTCCATAAATGACATCAAGAACTCTTATTCAAAAATTTATCCTTTCTATTGAAAATATGTTTTTTTATTTACTATTTACTTTTACTGTAGCTCTTCCAGAGTTACTGTCGGTCCCAATCCCGTGTAAAGGAGGGTTGGGCAGGGGGTTAGCAACTCCATCCCGTAGAAGACTAACTCGCTAAAAAACCGCTAACCGGAGCACATTACGTCGGGAAATAAAAGCAGATATGAAAAGGATGAATAACAAGAAGGAGCTAGAAAGGATTGCTCAGGACAGGGTTGCATAGTGAGTGGTGGTGAGTGGCCTATGCTCCTCTACGAGGAGTAACAGGCGTAAGTAACATATTTCGTTCCGAATGTAGTGTAGTTCTATGGTCATAATATATTTAAAACAAACTTGATAGTAAGGTCATCTGAACTAAATTCTTTTTGGTATTTGGATAGTCGGAGTTTCTTTTAGGGATTGTGCTATGTTTAAATTAGTTGTACTCGTTAACTTTTGGTAGTTCTGTGCTTATCAAGTACTTTAAATATTTGTCTGACTGACAAGAGGCCTTCTGTTGTTTAGTGGCTAGTTAATTTGTGTTGTAGAAGTTCATTTTAACCAACAGAGCTTGTCGTAGGCTTTCCTAAATTTGTTTGACGTGAGGATTCATCGTTTTTTATATTAGCCAAGCTTTTAATCCAGCAGTCTAATTCACAAAGCAGTGAAGCAACGTTGAGAGATGCAGTCCCATAGTAGTCTGTGACAAACAACAATTTCATACCCCTTTCGTTCCTTCAGCATCCTAGAGCCCATGTCCATCATTGGTTCGGAATCAGGAATTCCAAATCACCTAGGTGGATCCACTAGCCCGGTTAAAATTCCTGCCGGACATCCTCTCAATTTAGTAAACAACACCCCTACCACAAGAAGGCAGTGAGTCAAACTTCCCTGACAGTAACTATATCCACATGATCATGTATGATCATTTCGAGGGAGAGATAGAGAGCTAACTCTCCACCGTCGACCGTAACAGGTCATTTGATAATACAAGTCATCTTTCAGGTTTTGAATAATGAAACTGACGAATTTAAATGATTCATATATGTACAATGATATTCAATGAATCAAAGTTATTATTAGTGATAAAACCGATTGTTAAGAAAGTCATTTACTTACTTACACCTGTTACCCAAAATAGAGCATAGGCCGCCGACTAGCATTCTCCACCCCACTCTGTTCTGGGCCTTCTTTTCTAATTCCATCCAATTCTTGTTCATTTTTCTCATGTCTATCTCCATTTCCCGGCGTAATGTGTTCTTTGGTCTTCCTCTTTTGATTGGTTTAGCCTTGAGGATTACATGTGAGGGCTTGCCATGTGACGCAGTCGAGTGCTTTCCTCAATGTGTGTTCTATCCACTTCCTGAATTCTTCCTCCACTGGAATATGGTTTGTTCTCTCCTACATTTGGTGATTGATGATAGTATCTGGCCGACGGACACGAAGTATTTTACGTAGACAACTATTAATAAACTTGTATTTTCTGTATGATGGCTTTCATAGTTCTCCAGGTTTCTGCCCCATACAGTAGAACTGTTTTGACATTTGTATTGAAAATCCTGACTTTGATGTTAATTGACAGACAGTTGTTTTGAGTTGCAGATGTTCTTCAATTTTAGATATACTGTTCTTGCTTTACCGATCCATGCCTTCACATCTGCATCAGATCCACCGTGCTTATCAATGATGCTGCCCAAATATAAAGAAAGTCATTAACATAGTGATATTTCTATATTGAATTGTATGATACATGATTAGTTTTGTGTGATGTATCCTAAAGTACATGGATTTAATTCATTCACAATTATCCATGTAACTAGCTAATAAAAATGAAGAACAAAAAAAAAGAGATAACTGAAATCATACCATTTTAATGATTATTAACTTTAGGTCATATTATATTTATTATCATCAATATACATGCGTCCTTAACTATTTAAGGACACATTTATATAATTACAATTACAATAATTGTATGTATGAATTAAGTTGAATTTTACACTCTTTAGAAAGCAGTTTAACATAATTAATCACTATGTCATACGTTTTTTTTTGTTGTTGATTGATTGTCATTTTCCGGTGATCAAAATTTATTTTGAAGTCTTGTGATTAAAATTTGACTTCTAAAATAACAATGTTTCGTAATGAAGTACTTAATCTAATTGTTTAACCTTCATTACACTTACTTACTTATTCCTGTTACTCCTTATGGAGAAACATAGGCTACCCACCAATATTCTCCATTCAACTCTGTCCTGGACAATCCTTCCTAGTTGTTTCCAATTGTTATTTATCCTTTGAATGTTTGTTTCTAATCTAGAAACTTTCATCATGTCAATACAATTCTGAATGAAATATTTTGGAAGGTAAGAAGATTTAATATGTCACATAAAATCTTACTTATATGATGGACACATTCATGAGATTGCTTCCATTTAGCGGTCAGTTTTAAGGTTCTACACCAACTATTGTTCACATTTGTTTGATACTTCAATGTGATTTGTTTAGTTCCTGAGTTATCTTGTAAATAAATGTTAATTTATACAAATTAGATGATATATTTAACTCCGCCTGAAACCCCCTCTGAGGTTACTGTTGGTTCCAAGCTCGGATAAAGGAGGAGGATTGGGCATGAGGTTAGCGACCTCCTCCAGTTGAAAACTAACTTGCTGATACATTTTATTGACCAACTGATAGCAAATATATGAAGTCGAATTAAGTAGCATATGCATGTATGTAATAAATGTTTATCCACAGTTTAGTAACTGATTATAGACTTTAAACCATGTTACCGGAATGGATTAGATAATTGATGTATGATGTAACGTATTGATCATATTATAATGAACTACACTATTTCAACTGAAATGTTCGTTACAGTTCGAAATATGTACCAGTCGAATATCAGTAACTTATAAAGACTTCATGATAATTCATGGACTAACTCCGCGTTATTAACTTGAAGAGGTCATGAAGTTTGTGCTGATGATGTCGTTCAGAAGAATGATGAAAGTTCCACGACCAAACCATCCAGTTCAGAGAACAAAAAAACATCCATCTGAGCTAAAAAAAAAATATCCACTATCTCAAAAAATTAAACAGAATACTATGAATTCATTTGCATACAGCCTATAATATTGTTAAAAGCCAAAATTATTGTAAAGTTTGCATACTTCTAACAGTAAAATTGAATATGTATCATCATGATGGAGTAGTGAGATTGAAGATATATAAAAACTGTTGTCAGTAAATATAATATGCGAGAGAAGATCTTGGATCATCATAGGACAGTGACAACAAACCATAGAGACAAAATAATTGTAGTGACCTACTTTTACCAAGAGAACGCGATTGATTTAATGAAAACAATCATTATTATAATCAATTGTACCAGTGATTGTTTAACTGTGTTAACGACAGCCATATTACTCATCCATTACTCTCCCTTACTTTTCCGTGGATTGTGACCCTGCACGGGTTCTGTTACCCTCGGTAACCACGCTTGTACTCCTTTGGCACGAGATCGCCAACAAATACATCTCGACTACAGCCATTAACTGCCTTCTGATATTTGGCTTACGGGGGATTTTATCAGTTAACTGGCACGTAGTCTTCTTGTAGTGGTGTTCATAATCAATAACGACTCGACTCCACGCTACAATGTAATGAAGTAGCTGAACGCAAGTTGATGATCAATCAATTGAGATTGATCTGTTAGACATTTAAAAGAAGTGACCCAAGCAAAATAAGAGAGAAAATTACAAGAATGATGTAATAAGAAGAATGACAAAGTCACCATAGTAAGGAAAGATTTACAATTGTTTCCTTCTGCGTATATAAGTTCGGCTTAAAGCGTGTGATAATTACGGCTTTAATGAACTGGTGAAGAATGAAATTTGACTGTCGATTGATGATACTCAAATATCTCAGTCTATTAACTTAAAGGCCTATATCACTGAGATGTTTCACAATAATTCCATTGATCTGAAGCTTTTTCGGTTATGTTCTTAGAACTTAAAGTGGACCCTTCAGGATATAATATAAAGATATCCATATATGCTTCAAATTTCATGTGCTTATGTGTTTTGTAATCACGTTTATATGATCAAATAATTGAAACTTGTACATAAATAACACAAAATCTATTGAGATAACTACAGTCTAGAAATGAATATGATACAAGTCACAAAATTGGCCATCTTCATACATTTTATAAATATATGTCCATTTATTTATCTATTCCACAGTGAAAATGATTATCGATTAGCTAATAAAATGAGGTACTGTATACGTAGTTAATGAAGGACGAGTTGAAGTATACACCTGCAATAAAATGATGTTTTACCAGTGTCTATATGGAATAATTCTCTTGATTTATAATCTTTTTGACCATTTAAAGCGTAAAATACCAAGTTTGAATTTCATTGAGAATATCAACTTTGGGATAGAGGTACACTAAGCAACAGAGTCCCAAATAGGACAGAACGTCATTCTTGAACTCGGAAGTATTGAATTCCTGTTACAATAGTTTATCAAATGCGATCTAACACATCTTTCTTCAGCAAATGATCTCAGGTTATTGTTTATTCTTTTTTCAATCAAAAGCGACCCTTAATTCAAGA